CTGTTGGAAGACTTGAAGTAGAAGAGAGTTCATTCCAGAGGAGGTGTATTTTGGTGTTTGCTACGAGTCAACACTGATGTGATGGCACATAATCAAATCAAATATTTGATAGGGCACTACAATCTGATTTAAGCAAATAGACACTTAGCATTTATTCAAGATTCAGCCCAGCCAAGATTCAATGAAACCATTTCTGGGGCACTTACTACATGCCTGCACTTTAGTTGGCATTTCTCTCTTGGTTTGTTTATTTGGTTCTGTGTTTTTTGCTTAGTCAACATGCTGCATTGAATTGTTCCTTTGATCTGACATGATGAGGCTCCAAAAAGTGATGCTGTTTCACAAAGACCGAATACTAATTACATACCCAGGTACAAGGGTTACACCCAGGAGATAAACTATGGGCGCATTTCTAATGAAGGCTGGGATTCAAATAGCTACTTTTGGCACAAAGCAAAGTTTTTCATATGTCTTGGGGAAATTTTTAATATTCTTTGACATCATTTTGTCTCTTTTTCAGACACATACCATTTATTTTCCCTATCATAATTTCTAAAACTCCAGTTTCAATGGCAGATTTTCCATGTGGCATAAAGGAAGGATATACATAGATGTAAATTTAAATGTAAAATTGTAGATGTACAACTTTAACCTTGGACTGTCTACTGTTGACCTCACCCCATTCCTAAGAGGTCTGTAAGGGGCGTGCATAAGGGCACCAACATGCCTACCGTCCCTGTCCTACTTTCCCCATTTATTCGTATCCTTATCCTGTATTCATGATCATGTTTATATTTATATCTGTTATCTTATAAGTGTTTGACAAATAAATAAAATAAAATAAAATAAATAAAGTAGAAATGCATAATATTGGGATCCTGGCCAAAGCATTTTATCAAGTGAACCAAAACAAAGGAATCAGATTGTGAAATCATATTTCCTTGTGGGAATCAAGAAGGAACCCATTTTCAGAAAGATTGATTTCGAGATAAGTATTTCTCCAGTACTGTATAAAATACTTGCAATGTATCTTCCCACATCCAGATGTTACTTTGCTCATCTATCATATTTGATTTATAGTTTGCCTTCAGGATTTTTGTTTCCTAATAAGTGTATGAGTCACTTTCAAATTCAGAGACAATCCACTCCTTCTTACAAGTCTAAATGCATGAATTTCATGCGTTCAATCCTAAACATCTGATAAAGCTGGTCCGTTCCAGGTTTTCATGCTCCCAGAAGGAATGTTAACATTTCCTTTTCATTAACTAAGAAGATTTACTTCTAATCTGTTACTTTGAAGTAACTTCTGTTTTGATTTATGCAGAGCAGATGCTACTGTAGTGTCTTTTTAAAAAATCGCTGAGCTTGAAAGACTAATGGGTAGACATCTCTAAGGGATCTTATTCAACCAACATACTGTATGTGTCTTAAAAGATGGAGAAAATAACCAAGTCAAAGACCATAGGTTTCAGAAATCATAGTATAGTCAAGATGTATCATAAACTGGTATGATTTTCTGTTTTCTTTTTCATTATAATGGGCAATTTATTGGGTTTTAATGTAAACCATGGCTAGCATGATACATAAATCAGCCAATTCCAGAAACTGTGCTCCAGAGATTTTCTTCTTTTTTGAGCCATCCTTTGGTTCTATTTGTTTCTGCTGCTTTTTGTCCACTGAAGTAAAAAAACTCACTAACTGGAAGTGTGAGGGGATCATCATAAATATATTCAAATTTTAACTTCCGCCTTTATATTTAACTGCACTTTTAAATGGTCCAATATGGTTATTTCAAATACTGAATTATTATCCAATGGTGCCTTTCTTCAAACATGGGATCTGGGGCAATTGCTTCCTTATTAAAAAAAAACAAAAACCAGCCAGTTTGAGCTAATGGTTAAGACTGTGAGTTCAAGTCCCATCTTAGCCATGAAAGCCAGCTGGCTGATTTGGGGACCAGTCACCCTCACTTAGCCCAAACCACTTCACAGGGTTGTTGTGAGGAAATGTTCGCCGCCTTGTGTTACTTGTAAAAATAATAAAGATGGTATACAAATTAAATAAAGATGAAAACAATATGTGAGTCTTTCCAGTATTAGATAAAATTGATAACAGAAGGCAAAAAGGATAACAGATCTTTTAAGGGATCCACTTAATCTTGCTGTCAATTTCCTCAGAGATTCAGTGGAATATCCAGTGCGGTTCGTTAAACAGTTCGTTAAAAGTCTCTTTTTTTAATCTTTGGCACAAAAAAAACCCCCAAAAAACCCCTAAGGACAGGTTTTATGGAGGAATAGGGAAAGAATCTTTTTTGGGTACATCCTTCAGATCTGAGTTGAACAGAAGTATATTTTACATTGTTTTTTTTTTTTTTTACTTTATGCTTCAAGTAAGCAAATGAAATAGGGTTCTCTTTTTTTGGAGTGGGAGCTGTTTCCCTAAATAAAATATTAGTGCTAAAATGATAGATTTAAGTCTAAAGTTTTATTAATTGTCTACTATTACATTTGATTAGTGCTTAATAAACATCGTGTTGTCTGGGTTGTTTTGTTTGCTTAACAATACAAATTATATTTCTAATCTTTACCCCTTTTTTCCAGCCATTGATAAAATAAATTCCATGTTTGGTAGTATTCTGTATCTTCTTTCTGTTTAATCTTCAATGTAAGTCTGTCCATTTATGCACAGTCCAACATCTTAATTATCTCTTCATCTAGTGATATTTCTTCATTTTCCCAATGCTGCGCAAATACAATCCTCTTATTTTTCTTTATATTTCTACAATTCCGGAGTTTGGAATCTCATTTTTAATGGTAGCCCTCAAAGCTAATTCCAGTAAATTCCAATAAAATCTCAGTTAATAACTGCAACTCCCAAACACATTCCATTTTGCCTCCACTGGAAGTTTTTTAATATCACACATTATTGATGGTCTTGGAGTAGTCCTAGCAGAATTTATAAATTATTTTGAACTTGAATCCACCCTATTCATATAAGATACTGTTTGAAATATGATTGCCCTATTAATTAATTGGCCAGGCTCCTATACCTTTTTTAGACCTATACACACAAGCATAATTCAATTCGTAGACCTTTTCTGCAATAAACTTGCAGCCATGGAATTAACTTCACCTGTTGAATTCCAGCCTATTGTGCAAGTGTTAAAGGTACTAGATGCTAAACCAAGCATTCCCTACATTGAACAGTTGTAATCAACATCTGTTCAGTTGCATCTCTTTTTAACAAACCATGAAACGAAAAAGGCAGCTATCAGTTTCACATCATTGACTAACACTGTAATTCTGGTTGTGTTCACACTGAGTCATTGTTTGCTTAACCACAGAACATCAAATAACTGGCTGCATTCATACAATATGTTAAGTCAAAACCAAGTATCACAAGTATCACTTTGTGTTGTGTGAACTTATTTTGTGAATATACGATACTAAATTAGATTTCCTCAACCTGATGTTCTCCAGATGGGCTGGACTAACTTTACAGTTGAGGGGAAAATGGGACACATCTAAGAGGGTGCAGATTGAAGAACCATATAGGTTGAACTAGAGATGAACTTTGCTCAAAACCAACATGAAGACAAGTCTCATGTTATAGAAAAGTAAGCCTTTCCTGCCCCAATAGTCCAGGATAAAGCTAGCTGGTATAGATGCCAGATGAAGAATTAGGAGGAACAAAAGAGGTGAGGATAGACACACAGTCTAGCTAGTCAAAATAATATTGACGTACTTTCTCCACCCTGAAGATGGAATGCAGTTCAATGGATGTGCATTAAAAATTATTTCCAGCCCACTTTACAAGTCCACACACTTTTCACACACACTCAGAATGAACCCACCAGAAGGCACCAGGATCACACTGGCTCTTCTTCAACACACCTAGCCTTTCTGCAATGACCTACGTTCTGCAAGCACCATGTTGGCTTGGGCCAGCCTTTCCCAAACTGGCTGCAAAGGGAAATTTGGCAGGTGGGAGCGGGGATCTGAGGCATCTGGAAAGCACTAGGTTAAGGGCAGAATGGTTGAACTGTACAAACTCTACTGAAGCTCAAATATTTCGATCACCTAATGAGAAGAGAGGACTCCTTAGGAAAGACCCTGATGTTGGGAAAGATTGAAGGCAAAAGGAGAAGGGGATGACAGAGGATGAGATGGTTAGATAGCGTCATCAGTACAGTGAGCAAGAAGTTTGGGCAGACTCAGGGAGACAGTGTGGAAAGTCTTGCCTCCAGAAGTTTCGTTTCATTTTAATCTATGCCGATTAGAGTACATTTAAAGTGACAATAAAGTTATTGTGCTAAGTTGTGGATGTTCCAACACTGGAAGTTTTAAAGAAGTGATCGGACAACCTCTTGTCTGAAGCGGTATAGGGTTTCCTGTCTGAGCAGGGGGTTGGACTAGAAGACCTCCAAGGTCTCTTCCAACTCTCATTGTGGAGGACAGGGGGACCTGGTCCACGGGGTTTCGGAGAGTTGGACCCCAGTTAGCGACTGAACAACCACCTTCAACGCTACACCATTGGAAAAGGGAGGCCCGCTCAGCCCACATTTCCTGCCCACGGAGACAAAATGCTGAGGGAAAGGCTGACCCAAGCAGCGGTTCCCTTCAGGCTGATCCTCTTCAATTGGAGATGCCAGAAGACTCAACCTGGCACGTGCCTCCTGCCAAGCAGCTTCCGATCCTTTAAAGGATTCCGGCCTTCATCAGTTCCCGAGAGGGAACTTCATTTAAATTGGGATCCCGCCCGTTTCAACAAGTTTGCATAAAGATTTCTGCTCGGTACCCCCCCTCCCCGCCGTCCCGTCGAAGCCAACAGGGCTGGTGGGGAAAGCCGACCCCTTCGCGGTCAAGCTCGGGACGCCTGAGGGTTCCTTTTATCCGGCCGCGGAGGAGCCCCAAGAGACCCACCCCCCCAAGCCGCAAACAAGCCGGCCAAGGCAGCTTTCCTCGCGAGTTCGCGCCCACCCGCCGCGGCTCCCAACTCACCAGCGCTGCTTCCGCTCGCTTTCGACGCCTCTCCTCAGTTCCGAGAGCAGCGCCACAGCGCGGGACGGCAAGCCCTCCGCTGACAGGGAAGGGGCGAGGCGGAGGGCCGTCGAAGGCGCTCGCCTCGCGCGCTGCTGGGGCGGGGTTTTACCTGCCCGGGAGGGAAACCTGCAAGGCGGGTCTCCTCCCTGGCGAAGAAATCCGTGCGCTGGAGAAACTGTAGGGGGCACCCACCCCGCCCCCGTTCACCTCGTCCCGGTCCCAAATTTGAACCGCCTCTTGTAAGGCGTCTTGTGCTGGCAACGGCAACTTTTGGTCTCCGAAGAGCCTTTTTGGGGAAGCACGAAGGAGCGCGGCAGGGGCGGTCCGTGTCGCCTGAAAGTCAAGTGGGGTGGAAGGGGCAACCAGCAGCCGCGACCGCGTTTCGCGAGCGGGAGAGGTCAGAAGCTCCGGCTCTCCGTTTAGCTTGAGGGGGTCTAGTACTAAATGAATCGGGTCAGGGCTCCTGATTTGGGTACTTTAGCTGTTCAGGAGGCGGTTTGAAAAGCCGCCCCCCCCAACTTACAACAGTTGGGTTAGTGACCGTTCAGTTACAATGTCACTGAAAAAAGTGATTTATGACCATTTTTTCACACTTAATGACTCTTGCAACATCCCCATGGTCATGTGATTTATATCTAGATGCTTGCTAACTGGTTTAGATTCATGACAGTTGCAATATCCCAGAGTCACTTGATCACCTTTTGCAACCTTCTGACAAGCAAAGTCAATGGGGAAGTCAGATTCACTTAACAACCATATTACTAATTTAATAATTTCAGTGGCAAGGAAAGTGGTAAAATGGGGCAAAACTCACTTAACAAATTTCTGATTTAAGAAGATGCATTTTTGACTCCACTGTGTTCGTAAATTGAGGACTACCTGTAAGTAAGTGAAGGAAGGAAGGGGGGACGGAGGGAATTGATTGATTGATTGCTGGCTGTCATTACAAGATAGCAGAATAGCTAATATCAAGATTCAAACTTGCTTAGAAGATGGCCGTTCCCATAATTCTTTTAAGATTTCCCTGCAGTAGCTTCTGCCAAACCTGAAAACGATTTGGCAGAAATGGATCTAGTTATAAGTTGTATCCCATCCTTTGCCAGCCAAATGTATTTTTAGTGGCTTAGACCATTTCATCTGATCCATTCTTAATTTATACCTGCTCCTGTTTTAACATGTTTTTCTGGAGTTTTTTCCCCATTTTCTAATTTGCTACTACTTGCAACTGAAGAATATTGATAATAAAATAGGAGTATCAATAATTTGTAAGACATGAAATAGAGAGAAGCCTCTTAATACAGCTCTTCAGTGAGAATGCAGACAATATATGATTTTATGCATGCATCTGTGCTTTTGTTTACATAATAGAAAAAAAATCAGCCTTGAGAAAGTGGCATGTTAATTTTAAATGTACAATGTGTACTGGTACACAGAAATAATATAGGAAAGAAAAATTAAAAATTGTTTTAGCTATGAAAAATAAAGGCATATTTTAGCAAAAGCATATAGTTATAATTGTTCATAAATTTAGTTTTCTTATGGGAGTTTCCCCTAATCTAATGATTAATCCCAGAACACTTTGATTAAATTGTCAACAGCCTGCCACCTAGTGGAAATGAAGCAGTCTGTATGGAGCAGTAGAAATTACAGAGCACAAGCGGACTAATAAATATTTGAACCTGGGCTAGGAATGATGCTGTAAAGCTCCTGCTCTTTTTTAAGTATCTCTATTGCTAACATTCATATAGGAAATGCTTCTGCTTGAATTTTGGAGAGTGATAGATTTAATCTGAAAGACTTGGGTAGGCTTCAATCTCAAAGTTGGTCTAGTAGCTAAGGAATCAGGTCAGAAAATGGGAGACTGTGAGTTCTAGTCTTACTTTAGGCATGAAAGCCAGTTGGATGACTTTGGGCCAGTCACCTTCAGCCCAACCTACCTCACAGGGTTGTTGATGTGGGAAAACTGGAATATATATATGTATTATATTTGCCTCTAAACTTCACTCTAACATCCAAACCCCCAAACCTTATTCATACTCAGTTAAGTGAACAAGACATTTGCTCAGCTAATGTGAAAAAAACCCCTTATATAAAAACGGGCTTGTCAAGATTATGGCACTCGAGATATCAGTGTGTATAGTCAGGGATAAGCAGTGTAAAAATATTTAATGCATCTGCTTAGCTGTTCTATTCCTTTGCCAAACCAAAAGATTTCCACAGAAGACACCAAGAATACAGGGTTGAGAAGGCAAAAATACCAAAATCATCACTGCTGTTAAACACAGGCCACAAAAGAGTTTACTTCAATTTTATTTCTACTTAAACAGGTTTTGAATGATACATCATGCAGTCTGCGAGTGTATCCATACAGTTTGATAGATAGTATTTTAGAACCAAGATCCAAAGACTTAACTATAGAGAAGGAAGGGGAGATTTAGGTTTGCTGTTATAGAGCTTAATTCATTACAGCATCTTTTATGTAATAGTGGAAATTTCCCCCAGAGATTGTAACCATCAGAAAAAGGATCCACATTTCATTTCCCCCTAAAACAAGCTATTGTACAGATACATAGGTCCCAGAGAATACACATCTGGAATACACACTACACACGTTACAAACTAGACATGTATACTTCTACAGAATGCCTCAATCCCTATTCTTCCTTCACATCGTCCACTATTAAAAGAAGTTTTAAAAAATGACAGACACAATTATTTAGGTGTAAGACACAATCTTAGAAATAGTTTTGTATGGGTGCCTAAAAAGACAATTATCCTTTGTGTTCTTGGTTCAAAAAGGCATTATAGGAAACCATAACAGATTGCTTTCCAATAAGGTATCATCCCACAATTCTGCCGTGAACAGATTTATTATTTTGAAAACATGTTCATATTCTTGCCTCAGACTATGAAGGCTTAGGGGCCAATTTAGTAAGCTACAGTTTACACTGCACAACCTGTTTTTCAACACAGCCTATGATGAGGGTAGAGAGACCAAGTTAACCCTCAAAAGTTACAGTTCCTTTTGTGGAATAAACCTAATAAACAAGATACATATTTGCTATATGAAAGATAAGCTTTGGGGCTGTGTTGTTTTTGAAGAAAGGAAGTACTTTCATTTATAAATGAAGTAACAAAATATGTTGTTGTGTGCGCTTTTTCATTCATTGACTATGGGAACGGATTTTAAAGCCAGCTTTTAGATATTAATACAGTTTACATTATGTCAAGCTAATTAATTCAGAATAATCCATTCCTAACTTAATTCAGCAGAATGTAGCAACTGTGATCAGAATCTTTCCACTGTCTCAGTGGCAGAAGGCTAAATTAAAAAGTTAGCCCAAGGATGTACATAAATAAAAATGAGACTATAAAGAAAGTATGATTGAAATTAGAAACAAGCTTCACTTTCAGTCAGAAAATTCTGTAAATATGTAATATAGTTTTTGAGTTTTCAAGAATTAAACTCAAAACCTTTCTATCATTTAAAGAATGCCAGTCAAACTGTAACTATAAAAGAAGCAAAAGGGAAAAGGACTTTTTAAAGAGTTAATCAAATCTCTAGCATTTTGGAAGCAATACAAACATACTGTAAAATTAGCATCAAAAACTTAAAAGAATGGCTTAGAAATATCACACAAATGAATTCTAGCAGCAGTGAGTCAATAACATAATAAAAGTGTGTGGCTCATTTTCAAAATACATCCCTAAGCATTGCAATGTACTGTGTCTTTGTGTCCCATTTCAGAAGATAATCTGCCATCTTTGATCCAAAACGGAAAAATTAGTTCTGAGGCCTCAGTCAAGGAGAGGCTTAAGTTAGAAGAACTGACTGGCTGATCAGCAACTAACAATTTTGTGGCATCAAAGCTAACTTTTCCTTACATCCTTACATCATATTAACCTCACAATTTTTTATTTCAAAAGTGCTTAATGTCAAACCACAGTATCCAGTTCTCATTCCTATCAGTGGGGATTGATCAGGTATAGTGCTTGCATTCACAGTATCAAAACATCTTAAAACAATATTATTTAAATGCACAAAAAGAGATAATTTAAAATATGTTTTAAAATAAAACCTCATTAACTGTGCATTCTAAGAGCTCATCTGCCTATGAAAATAGCTATAGTGAGATTACTTGAAACATCCTCCATGATGCACATCCTATTAGGATGTCCTAGCTGAAATTTCCTCAAATATTTTTCTGGGATTTTTTTTTTTTTTTTCCTAACTGGGAGCTTTATGCGTGTAAACTTCATGTGTGTGCGTGTAACTTGGTGTTCAACAATTTACAACTAAAAAGATGGCCTCATTAATCCCAGAAACAGGACTGAATATGGCAAATTCAAACTTCAAGTGGTGGACAGTGTATATACATGTGTAACAACATTTAAAAACACAAACATTTACAAAAAGAAATAACAAAATAAATGCAAAATAAGGTCTTTCATTAAACATGTCACGAAAGTTTCTCCCTTCCCTCACAATTAGTGCAATCCTTAATAAATTAAATAAGATCCAACAATCTTTGCTACAGTCGAATGCCTAACCTATATCGTGATAAAATATCTGATAACCATCTTTTTAAAGGCTTTATAAGCAGAATAGCTTTTTAGGTAAAAGTATTCCCTCCCCCAAAAAATTAGCAGCCCCCAATTTACTGTTAATTTTAGTGAAAGCCACAGCGACAGAATGGAATGAATGTAAATTGAAATTCAGTTTCGAACCTCATATTCTTTTGAAAAAGCACATGTTCCTATGCATGGTTTTCAATGTATATATAAAAAATATGCAAAATAAATATAACCGACACATTAAGCTGCAGATGTAACACTTGTTTCTACCTGTTCTATGGTTAGCCATGTCTTCCACTTAAAATAAAACTTAATACTTCATGTCTGTCATTAAGTAAGAATACAATGAGGGTGTACTACACCATTTTCTTGGGCAGACTGCCGTAAGGTTCAGTACCAGCATCTAATGTTATAAATGCTCAGGATTTTGATAACATTATTTCAATCATTCTTCCTTTTTGTTTTTCCTCTGAACTCTAAACATGCATACCTATTCCTAGTCAACCCTTTGGAAAAGGGTTCTTAATCTTATTAGAGAAGAATTTTCCCCACATTTCTGACTTCTACTATGATCTCTGAAAATCAAGGAGAAATTAGACTTTCACCCGCTATTCTAAATTTACTTTTAATATTCATATTAATCAAAACCATTGCTTCTGCATAATCACCTGAAGATCAGTAAGGGACATTATAGATTAAATCCTAAACTTTGAGATTATGATGAACCCATATGATCATTGGATTTTAAGACTAAAACTATGCTAACCATGTTCTTTTGCATCCTTCTATATCTCTACTGTTATCTGATCTCTATCAAGCAAATGTACTCATAATTTAGCTTTTCCTCTCTACCCTTTTAAAATAAATTCAACATTTCACCAGGGTAATAAAAATGCACTATTTGAGGTACTTTAATTTTTTTTGAAAGCAGATTGGAGGGTAGGCTATTTTCAAACTATATAGCTGCACCCTGTCAATTTCTAAAAATATAAAATGATGCACATATTAAACAGAAAATCAAAAAAAACTCAGTGATGGAATCCAATCATCTGGTTTGTTGCTATGGTTGTTCGATGGCTAATTCTTGGATGTCACATTTCTGCTGATGCACCAAAGTACTTAAAAGAGAACAAAACAGCATCAGTGCAAGCACAGAATCTTCCACAAGAGTGGCACAGAGGGGTAAAATGCAGTCAGTCAATGACAGGGATTGAGCAGCAGACTCAGGGTATTACTACCCTAGGATAATGTGTTAGATACACTGTACAAGGTTTGGAAAGGGAAAAGTGTATTGGACACACTTCTGTACATATGGAGATGGGACAAAGCTGAAACATTTGAAACCGGTGCATTGCCGATGGCTATAGAACATGTACAACAAACAGAAATATAGTTCCAGTTCTCCGTAAAAAAAGTAGTGGTGAATTGATGACAACCTTCTACATGCCAAGTACCATCTGGTCAAGTCTGGGAAAAAAATAGATAGACATAAAATGTGTTAGTACAAATCATATTTTTAGGAGCAGAATAACGGGATAGCTTTGGGGGCATTAATTTGTTTTCAAAAAGTATATAATCATCATATGGAGAAAACCAGTTTGGTGTACTGGTGAAGGCACCAGATTAAAAACCAGGAGACTGTGAGTTCTAGTCCCTCCTTAGCCATGAGTCATTCTCTCTCAGCCCAACTCACCTGACAGGGTGATTGTTGTGGGGAAAGTAGGAGGAAAGAATGTTAGGTATGTTCACTGCCTTGAGTTACTTATTAAAAAAAAAAAACAGGATTTTTTTTTTAAAAAATCTAAATAAATGTGGTGCTGCAGAACAGAAACCCTCATACATGGGATTGTTTGAGAGGGGGGAAACGAGCTTTGTAAATTGTTTTGTGTGTCTTTATTTGTAAAAAGCTTCTAGATCTACAATTCAATCCAAAGAGTTTTCAATTTTTTTTTCTCTTACAAAATTAACTCAAAATCTGACAATCCAATAGTAATCGAGCCATGAACCAAGACTTAAAATACAACACGAGAGTATATTGTGCAATAATAAATTCAATCAAATGTACTGCAGAACAAGTCAAGTTTTTGGGAATAGATGGAAGGGAGAATACTAGAAATTGCACCAAGCAGAGTCTGTTCTGTGTAGCTATCAATCAGGTACCCCAAAAGACGAGGCAAAAGTTCCTTAAATCAGAAGAAGGGAGACAACAGTTCTAGTGTGTGTTTGACCTAAACTGTCTCAAGGTTTATTTATTTTGGATTGCACTCAAATTGACCACTTATATCAGGATACTAAATACTAAAATAAGGATATTGAGTTAGAACTGGCAAAGACTAAATTCAGATTCATCCTCAGGTCCAGCTATTCAATGGATTGTCTAGGAAAAATAATTATATTTCAATTTCTTCATTACTAAATTACTTTTTATTAGTCGCCCGGGAAAAATGTGAGTAGAAATGGAACAGCTACCATTGGTTTTCTCTTGTTTTTTAAGCATGCTTTGCAGTACTCTTCTCACAGAATAGCAGGTGTTCCAAAAACTGCAGTGAAATTACCAAACCTAATTTTTCCCCATAATGTGTTTGTCCTTACACTTTGCCATTACATGGACACTATCAACAGAAAACATTCTGAATTATATTAAATGTACAGGTAATCATTTAGCAACCAGAATTGGGACCTGGAACTCAGTTGTTAAAGCAGTTGCCAAGTGAAAACACAATGGAGTGTACAATCTTATTTAGTTTCCCTATGCTTTACAGAGCTGCAAAGGTCATAAATGCAAAGACTGGTTGTAAAGTTACTTTTTTTTATCACCATCATAACTGCAAATTGTCTCTAAATGAGACCGTCACTGAACAAGGACTATCCGTAATTAACTTCTTGTTAAGATCAATACCTGAACCATTCAGAGAAGTCAGAGGTCAGCAATGTAAGGACATTTACTAATAATGTTACACAATAGAGAAGATGTATTTTTGGGCAATAATGAACATTGTGGCTACTTCTGAAACAATATACTTGGATAAATGTATTACTAAGGAGAGTGTTGTTGGAGCACAACAGACTGTTCTACTTTTTTTAAGGGGCAGGTGAAAGACACAGACATTCCAGCATTTCATTGAAAGGGTGTGAGAAACTATGCTGTTAAAATAGTCACTATCCTATTGGTAAATGTAAAATAGTCACTACCCTATTGGTAAATGTAGCTGTCACTAAACAGTGGCACATTCTTGATTCATGAAAGATGTATTTTGGTTTAACTTACTACATATACTCTGAAAAGTTCCTTTCCGTTAGGAACAAAATGGATTTTTCTCCTACATTTCTGAAATATCATCTATAGAAACTGTTTTAGCCTCAGAATCAGAAGCTGTTCAATGATTCAGTTGAATAAAGGGGACCATAGGTACAACAATTGCAGCATTGTCCATTAATGTAATTAAAACAACAAACTTGATCTAATGGTTTAGAGCAGGGGTGGGGAACTGTGACTTGTACATTTCAATTCCCAGAATTACTGAGCCTGCCATGCTGACTCAGGAATTCTGGAAATTGAAGTTCACAAGTCATAAAGGGCCATTGTTCCCCATCTTTGGTTTTGAGGGATGTCTACTTGGGCATACAACAATGATGGGTTGCCCCCGGTTCAGACCGGTTCGCAAGAACTGGTAGTAAAAACGGCGGGAGGCTCGGCCCACGGCCCACTGTCATCATAGGTGATCTGCGCATGTGCAGCAGCTTCTGCGCATGCACAGAAGTGCGCAAGCAAAGCGAGCTCCCAATGCAAACCGGTAGTGAAGGTAAGTAGAACCCACCCCTGGCATACAATACATACTAACAAACATATTCCCAGATCAAGCCGAGTTATTCACAAGTTATTCAATCTGGCTGTTCTTATCTTAGCAGGGTGTTGGCAACGCGCAGCTCCAGAGCTGCATGAGGCTCTTTCATCCCCCTGCTGTGGCTCCCTTTTGGCTGAACCCACCACTGGCTGGCCCCACCCCTCGCCCTCTCTTCCCAGTCACTCCTCGCCTGGCCTGAGAAGGTAAAGGCGACGGTGGGGGATGGAGACTCGCTCCATATTCCAGAGTGGGAGTGAAGTGCCCCTGTACTTGCTGTGTCTCGCGGGTGCTTCTTCCGGCCCTTGTTGGTGCTGTGCATACCTCGGTCGCTCGGGAAGAGGTACGACTTGCTCTCGACCCCGAGACACTGGCCCAGCTATGCACTTACCTGTTATTTACTTCGTGTTTTGGTAATATGCACCACCTCCACGAATGGCATGAATGGCTGTGGGAGAAGATGCCGGATAATGACCAGGGCGAATAGGCTTGGCTGCAAAGAGAAAAAGCAAAGTCAAGGAAAATTTTTGTTTTAAGCCAACGACTGGACTGCTCTTCTTTGAACAATCATAACCCAATTTATTTCTTCTATGGGAAACCTAAAGTGCTAATGCCACAGATATTCCAAACAATAATATACAATTCATAAATTGCCTCTCATTGAAAAATACCATAGATTCCTTTGTTTTTGTTCTCAAATTGACTTTGTCTTTTTATCTGCCTTCAAAAGTTTGACCTCTCTTGGCTTCTGGAGTTGGAGGAATCACAAGTTACTTCAAAATTAATTATTTCTCCCACAAGTATTTTAACATGGAAAGGAACAGTCAGTTATATGAATCCCCCACTACCACTTCAAGTACTATAGCAAAACTACAAGTGTAATAACCAATGATGTAAATTTAAGCTTTTGACAGAACACAGTAAATTAATAGATGGTAGAAATAATCAATTTCAAGTATCCCACAGAAACTACTTTGTTAGATATATCTGGACAAATTATATGAAAACTGCATTTTGGGCTCAGGGTAAAGTGCAGAGGCCTTAAAGGTGTTGTGTTTGATGGTTAATGCTGCAACAACAGTATGAACAAGAGATAGTGAATAATTTATCTAAGAATAAAAAACTTAAAAAACCTACTGAAGTGAGGTCTTCTGTTGCTCTTTTTTATTTATAAAGTGAAGACATATAGTGAAGAATATAATCCTTCACAATATGTGGGACTGAGAACCAAACATCTCTCTATGAATCACACAATGCAACCACATCTTTCTGCAAGTCTTATTAAGCAGCTTCAAAAAATTGTTGCATTTTTGTACAGTGGTACCTCAGTACTCATCACTGATTGGTTTCAGGAAGTACGATGAGTACCAAAAATGATGAATATCAAACAATTTTTTCCCATAAGGAATAATGTAGTGAGTCATAAGGTAGCTGACATTTGAAAAGTTCTAGCTTGTATGTTGAGTAGCAAACAAACGAGTACTGGGACAAATGTTTTGTGTCAAAATGCATTGAGTACTAAGCAAAACAACTGAGAACACAGTACTTTGCAACATGAGGATGAAAGTACAGTGCTACTTTGGTACTCAACTGCTTTGAAACTCATCAAATTTAGTTCAAGTTAATACTCACAAAGTAATAAAACTCCTGAAGTCACCATTCAGGAATGCTCTTCTAAAACCCATAGTCATTTATACCTAAAAATAGAAGTACTTTCCACAAGAAAAAAAATCTATGAACGCATGGTATTTGCTGAATTTATTGTGAGCTTAGAGTATTTTATAAGTAATTCTTGACTTACAGCCATTTGTTTAGTGGTTGTTTGAAGTTACAGTGGCACTGAAAGAAGTGACTTATAACAATTTACAATTGTTGTAGCATCCCCACAGTCACATGAACAACATTTTATGGACACTTGGCAACTGGAGCATGTTTATAGTAGTTGCAGCATCCTATGGTCACATGATCATCATTTGTGCCTTTTTCAACCACCTTCTGACAAGCAAAGTCAGTGGGGGGAGCTGAGTTCACTTAACAACCATGTGATTCATTTAACAACCATGGCAAAAATGGTTCTAAAATCAGACATGAATTATTTAACAACTGCCCTCCTTATCAGCAAAAATTCTGGACACAATTGTCCAAAATTGTCACAGATTGTCCTTGTGTCAAGGACTCCTCTGTATTAGCAGGCAGAATCCATACCAATTTGAGCGGAATGTGCTCGTCTTGCCATGTTCTTGGCTCTGACAGCCTCTTTAATGCGGTCCACTTCTTGCTGGTACCGTTTCCGATCCCGCATCGCATTTTCCTTGGCCTCCTTCAGAGCACTTTCCAAGGCCTTCACTCTCTCCGCTGTAGCTCGAAGTCGTTTTTCCAGCTTTGGAAGTTCACAACGAAGATCCGCGTTGTCACGTACCAACTACAAAAGATGGAAAAACTCATCTTTTTTTTTTTTTTACAATATCACATACATAAGATTTTTACAATATCATACACATAAGAACCTAAAAAATTAAAATACTTCTTATTTTCAATAAGTAAATAATATTTTAAAAGATACAGAGCCTATTTGATTAGTGTTTCTTGGGGAAATGTTCCAAATTTAATGTACATTTTGCAATTTTCCTCAGTTTAAAGCGTGTTGAAAAACACAGCCAAGTGAACTATACTGATAAATGATACATAAATCTGAATAAATAATGTCACCTCCCCTTTTTTGCTATTTTTAGCACTGTCTGTCTCGATTTTGCTTGTGAAGAGTTTTATTCAGTCCTGTAATTTCAATAGGAAATGAAAGAGGGAAAAGAAAGAAAAGTAGCATGGAGGGAAGAAAAACACTAATTTAAACTTTGCAAGCTATGTATAGGGCTTCCATAAGACAAAAAGAGCAGTGATATTTGGTGCAATAAATTGCTGCATAATAAGGACAGGTAAAACTTCTAGGTTTAAGTCTAGACTACAGTTCCCAGAGTTCTTTGCCACTTGCTGTGCTTCCAGGACTAATGGGAAACCATCTCTGAAACTTCAGGAAAGCTCAGTTGATAGCTCCATTGCTCACAAGCACTATCATGCCCATGGTAAACAAATTTCTACTTACCACTGAAACCTCCACCACACAGAACATTTTTGGCAATCCTTATGCAAAGGATATAACATTGACACTGTAAAGTCAGTGATGCAAGCTAACCAGCACTCTGCTTTTCACACTGACCATTGTTCATTAGTGCATGCCCCATCAAAGTCTCTCAAATTCTTGAAGGCTGAAATGGAATAAGGGACTTGGGGCTCTCCAGATGTTGCTAACAATCAATTCCCAAAAGCCTCAGCTAATAAGATTGACAGTTAGGGATGCTGAGAACTGCAGTTCAACAACATCGGAAGTACCGCACTCTAGTCCATTTTGATATTATTAGGTACACTGCGCCATTTCTCTGTGTTCTCCAAGGTAGAAACCCTGCTAAAAATCCAATTTGAATTAAAAGAAAGTTGAAGATCTCTGTTGTAAAAAACTGAGGATTCAACATAATATGTAACTAGGGTTCCCCCCCCCTTATCTGATTTCCAGGTGCTGCCTTTTGGCTCATCTGTCTGGCAAGGGTCTTATAAACTGATTGAAAATCCCATTTTTACTTTAAACAAGTGTGCTCAAATGTCTCCTTGAAAGAGCTGTAACTCAATTGTTATACACAATTATTTAAGGTTTGTTTTTCCAGTCTCCTTATTTTACAGCTGTTGAATTTAGACAAATTAGGAAAACCACAGGGTAGCAATGACTGATCTAATGATAATCCTACCTGTTTGTGAACTTTTGTAAGTTGTTCCAGGTTGTTTTCCAAGAAGGAGATTTTCTGCTTCTGGGCAGCACTTCCACCTCCATCATCACTGTCCAATTCAACACTCTATGCCGAGCAAACAAATTACAATACAGAAATTAAATGATGGCTGAGAACAGCAACAAAAAACTTATCTTGCATAAAAATACATTACAGCCTATGAAATTAAACTTGGAATAATACTAAGCAGGAAGCATTCAACTAGATGTAATTCTTAGATTTCTGAACATAATTTACATTGATGCTGTTGTAATGTGCATGGTTCAAGGCAACAGGGAAATCTTTAAGAAAGATTACACAGTTCCAAGTTAAACCTTTTAAATGATTCAATATATCTACATACATACTACTAAGACTCTTGTTCCTTAACTTTTAACTGGGTGAAACAATGAAAGAGTTTTTAAACTATTCCCGGCTGGACTATTGTAATGGTCTCTACATGGGGCTCCCCTTGAGGAGTACCCGGAGGCTCCAGCTGGTCCAGAATGCAGCCGCGCGAGTAATAATGGGGGCGACTCATCTTGCGCGAGCTGCACTGGCTCCCGGTGGTCTTCCGGGTGCGCTTCAAGGTGTTGGTTACCACCTTTAAAGCGCTCCATGGCTTAGGACCTGGTTATCTACAGGACCGCATTCTGCCACCGATTACCTCCCACCGACCAATACGCTCCCTCAGAGAGGGCCTCCTCAGGATGCCGTCAGCCAAACAGTGTAGGCTGGCGACCCGCAGGGGGAGAGCCTTCTCTGGGGGGGCCCGGCCCTATGGAATAAACTGCCCCCGGACATATGAAGGATCCCCGACCTCCGTGTCTTCCGTCACGCTCTGAAGACCCTATTATTCCAGCAAGCTGGACTGACAGGATATAGGTTTTTTAAATTGGGTTTTGATAGGGGTTTTAAAATGATCTTAGTTGGATGTTTTAAATTTGGCCGAATGATTGAATTATTTTAATAAGCTTTTAATTTTTGTTGTACATTGTTTTTACCATGGCTGTTCACCGCCCTGAGTCCCTCGGGAGAAGGGCGGTATACAAATATAATAAACTAAACTAAACTAAACTAAACTAAACTAAACTAAACTAAACTAAACTAAACTAAACCAAGGTGCCTCAAGTGGGCTAATTTACAGAAAGGTCCAAAATCCTAGACCCATGACTCCCCTAGTATTGAAATTTATCTAGTTTTATAAAATGGTTTATGTCATAAAAATTATCCTAAAATAGTTTATGACATAATACAAAATGTCATAAGACATTTCTTTTTGGGGGGGCTGATGTTATATAGTGCAACATGGGCCATTTTCAAGGCAGATACATCTCTGGATACATCCCAATTTTTCTAGTGAAGCCAGTAAACCAGACATTCTGTCATTGTAAAAGATTTTGAGGAACCTGGTAAGGAAATATCTCTGAAATGGTGATCATGGGTTGTCTAGTAATTTTTAACCTTTCACATTCATCAGTCCTCCTCTGCTTTCTATTCTAACAGAACTGTTGACTGAATAAGAGTACTTGCTTGAGACATGAGGAGAGATTTGGGGAGTTAATATTAATGTCAAATAAACAGAGATTATGAAATGTTTCCAGACTAATGTAATAATGATACACCAGACTGGCAAATCGATGGCTACTTTTTTTTTTTAATATTTATGGAAATAATGTTTTTAACTAATTTCAAAATTCCTTGGCCATAAAAGTTTGTCTTTTTTAAAGGAAAGTTTAAAAGGTAGTGAAAGCATTGCAAATAAATTTGGAACAAAGTGGAAATGCAGAGACTATTTTACAATGAAAATGGTAAGTTTTTTTTTTAATTTTAAATTGGTTTCACTTCATGACCTAAAGCTTGAAGTATTTTATCAGATATTTTAATACTATATTTCAATATGAACCACCTTTTCCTTAATCCTTCTTGCTCTACTCTTTCATAACAATAAAACTATAGTCCAAAATACAACTACAAGTTATACTGATTGAAACAACAGTACAAAATAAAAAATATTATAGGGAGGAGGAGTTTTTATTCTAGGGAGGAGACTTTCTTCATCCTCTGCATTAATTTTAGTTTATTCAGTGGAGGCAAAAACATACAATTTTGTTCACAGTCATCATAATTTTCCCTGAAATACACTTTTAACACTTTTATTATTTTCATTTAAGTATCAAAATATAAAGGTACACTGTACCTGGACTTAGACTGTCCTTAATGAATAAATTACAACAATATGCCTATGTGTAAACACTCCCTCTAGTCATGTTTATAATCCAAGCTTTTGAAATTACTTAATAATGATATTTAGTCTATCTGTGCATGCAATTATTCTCAGATATTCAAATGCAAGCAAGATATATTAGCAAGCAATTATATTTCAACAGAGTGCCAGATAGCTTGACAAACATTTTCACCAAAGCAAAATGATGTTTTTAGCATAATTCAAATCTTTCAGCCAAAGATTTTATCTTACTTTTTTTACTCTGGTGGTGAGATCTTGAACAAAGAGTTTACGTAAGTTGTGAAGAGTTTGAAGTTCTCGAGCCTGTAAATAGACATATACATAAATTTGGGGGGGGGGGGACCCAGAACTCTACAGAATCTTAGCATTTCTTCAGAATGATGTCATGATTGTGACAATTTCTGTCTCTTATATGCATCTGTGCAATGTCACAATGTATGTTCAAGAGTAGTGGAGCTTGCGTCACAATGCATGATGTTATTTTTTTATTTGTCCCTCCTTGACTCCCACTCTGGGCACCTTTACTTAATACAGACTATTTTAAACAGAAACGCAAAGGCAAAGTTGTCAAAGCACACCAAAAACACACCAATAACAGTAATTTAACTACAGGTAAATCATAGTGTAGTACAAGTGCACTGCAGAAACAGTTTGGTTTAGTGGTTAGGGCACCAGGCTAGAAAGTGGGAGACCGTGAGTTCAAATCCTGCTTTAGTCATGAAAACCAGCTGGGTGATGTTGGGCCTGTCATTCTGTCTCAGCCCAACTCACTTCACAGGTTTGTTGTTGTGAGGAAAATATGAGGAGGAGAAAGGTGTATTGGATATGTTCTCCATCTTGAGTTATTTGTAAAAATACTAAAGGTGCAATATAAATAAATAAACTACTGTGGTATTACAGCAGTTAAAGTGAAGCAAAAAAAAATGGTTATCCCTCAATTGGTTAACAGTGATCTGTCAACAACTGTGAGCCACTGATAAATTCACAATTTTCACAGATAAATTGTTCACAGATCACTGTTAACCAATTGAAGGATAACCATTTTTAATGGTTATTGAGGGATAGCTATTTTTGAAGTTTTAAAAATATATTAATTGCACTTTCCTGCACACTGTATAGCATACATATATGCTTTAGCTGCTTTCTAGATGACAAGGATGATAATTATCTGGATTTTGGTGGGTACATCTTATTTTACAGTGTTGGAGCAGCAATGGAGAACTGTTTCCTTGGCTCCTACCACTTCTGGAACCCCTAACCCCCATAGGCAACTGAGGAAGATACCACAATCTGTGGTATCAGAATCAGCTGAAAAGTCTGCCTCCCACCCTCAATTTCTCTTCAACAGCAGGTTCTCCTTCAAGGGCTTCCTCACATAGGTTCTCCAAGGGGTTCAACAGGCAATCCTGCAGGCACCTCGGTAAAAAGCTATATTATAGGGGGTTCTAAGTCAAACCAAGCAGTTTGAAGTAAATTTAGAAACGCATCGTTAACCACTGCATGGCCTACAAGATATGAATAATACAATTTTAGTGACTACTGCATGTCAATCAATGAGTTGTTAAATTTTGGACCATCTGCAACCTGCATCAGTTCTTACAAGATACAAACAAAGTACAGGAAACATGCAAAAAGTGAATGTCGCCACCATACCATGATCATCTATCAGGATGATTGGCAATGGGAATTTCGTAGGGTATTTCTGACATAATGACCTCCTCCCTCAAATTATAATCTCTTTTCTGGAAAGTTATTTCAGCAATACAACTATTATTTGGCTAATACATACCACAGTTTCTTCCAGTCCTTTTAGATCCTCCCTTGCTTGTTCCCTCTTATCATTAAGTAATCTAGATTAAAAACAAAACAAAACCAAGGGTACAACTCAGAAAATACAAATATATAATTCAGAGTCCCAAAAGTGCAAAACATTAAGCCAGATCATCTTCTAATGTCTAAACCACTAGTGTACAATCTTTTGGCTTGCCTGCGCCACATTGAGTGAACAGGAATTGTTTTGGGCTCCATATAATATATATTATATAATGTATATAAATGACATAATAATGTTAAAAGTTCACGATTACCAGCTTTCCAGAGCTGCATGCAGCCCGCGAGTGGTGGATTGGACACACTTAGTCTAAAGGGTTTTTTTTAACATTGGCAACTAAGCATTTTGACAAACTCATCCAGTGCTTCATGATCATAGGAAATTCATGAATGAATTCAGTTAACACTGTAACAAAAAAAACTCAATAAAATTTTTTAAAATGTAACTGAAAATTAGTTTACATAAATTTTAACAAGAAACAAAACTATCTTAAGAGGTACATCAGCCTGCTTATATTCACACTCAATTAAAAAGAAAATTACTTTTTAGCTATCCTAAGCATATATACTGCCACATTATGTAATGAAGATAATATAGTTTTCTCCCATTTTCACAGAATTAGGTATGTAAAATACTAATGGAATAACAGAACTCAAGTTTTCTTTGTTCCTTCTTTAAGGATTATATGCCATAAGATATGATATAGTTTCCTGTATTTTTGGAGTTAGAAACTATTTCTATTTCCCAAGACAATGAATGTGTTAACTATAGATTTCTGAAATATTCTCAGGCAAAAATATTTCATAATCCTGTAGTTATTTAGGGAAGTAATTCTTTATTTGGGTGGGTGGAATGAAGGCTAGGATCCAAATGAGGAAAGTACTATTTTCCTTTATGAATAGCATGGTGACTTCTGAAATGAAAAGGAGGTCACCCCCTAAACATCATTTTGGCACAATGGAAAATCCAAGGTCTAATTTGTTCAATTTATTTATATATTTGTTAAACCTATATACTGAGTATTGAGGGATGATGGACTGGAAGACAAGCAAGTTTCTAAAAGGAGGGTGAAATATGAATGATCACTATGCTGATGACCATCTTCTGAGAGCTGAAAATAGAAATTATTTGGAAGTAATGGAAGTCGAGAAGCAGAATAAGAAAAATGGCCTTAAGTTTAAATTTAATATAATATAAATATAAAGCAAACCAAAGTAATTAACAACAGGAACAGCAACCAGCCATAAAACTGACAGTGAAAATAACTGAAGTGGTCGGTCGTTTTTTTTTACTTTTGGGACTTTTAGGTTTTGACTATGAACAGTAAAGAAACCAGCAGTCAAGACTTACAACATAGATTAGTACTTGGTAGGATAACATGAAGATCTTGCAAAAGATATTCAGATGCCATGATGCATCTGTGAGATCAGAATTGTAACACCCTACGGAAGCAAAAGTTAGAACTTGAAGCAGCAGAATAGGTAAGAGTATTGACTCTTGAAATTTGCTGTTGCAGAAGAGTCCTGAGAATACCATGGATACCAAGAAAATGAACAAACAAATCATAATTCATGTGAGGCACAAATAACCAGCCTCACATTATCATATTTTGGGCACATTATGCAAAGACCTAGGACCTTGGGAACTGCATAATGTTGGGAAAATGGAAAGAAAAAGAAGACAATTAAGCTCAAAATTTCCATTGCTATGCAAGATGGTTCTTAAGTGAGTTGCACCTCATTTTATGACCTTTTTTACTGCAGTTGTTAAGGAAATCACTGCAGTTAAGCGAATCCTGTAGTTGTTGCAAATCTGGCTTCCCCCACTGACTTTGCTTGTCGGAAGCTGGCTGGGAAGGTTACAAATGACAATTACATGAACCCAAGACAATGCAACTGTCATAAATACATGCCAGTTGCCAAGCCCCTGAATTTTGATCACATGACAATGGGGATGCTGTAATGGTCATAAGTGTGAAAGTCATAAGTCACTTTTCTCAGTGCCATTGTAACTTTGAACTGTTACTAAACGAATGGTTGTTGGGGACTATCTGTACTAACAAGAATAACAGTTTTGGGTCTTAAAGTGGATTGGTAAGAGTTCTGAGTTTAATTTGAATCTCCAAAATTGTAAATCTGTATGTTAATGAGGATAGTTAAAATCCTGCTCTACTGAACTTCCAGACTTGACACTAGGGTATTAATAAAATCCTGACAATGTACCCATGTTTTTAGAAGAATGTATAAAATTCTCTCTTCACCATATTGCTGATTTTCTTTTAGGCAGTTTAAATCTTAATTTTAAGTAGATTATGGCTATCCAGTTGTAGGTGTCATCTATGGAATGATTGTTAAGTGGATATACACTTACTATTCACACTTACATTGGGCCACTCAATTAAGACCAGATGTTTTAACAACAGTCCTGTCCTTGCCATTATTAAGAACTATCCATAAAATTTGAATGGGGTAGGATAGGATATAATCAGGACCATGGTCTTATAGGTCTGTTAATTCTTTTCTGTTCTAGAGTTGAGTCTCTAGGATGAGAAATGAAACCTCTATGAAGTTTGTAGCTAATAGAATGTCCCCCCCCCCCTCAGAATTTGCTGTAAACTTCAATCCAAATATTCACAATCGAGAAAGTAATCCTTTTTGGGAAGGGTGACTAGTAAAAATAATCACAGGACTTTTTGATAACATCATAAAGAATGGAGAATCTTCAGCTCATAAAATATTAATAATATGCAACTGTTGAGAAATGCTAATTCTTGTGAGTTATAGCATGTACAGTGCTATAACTCACAAGAATTGGAGATTACATTCCAATAACATCTGGATAGCCAGAGGTTACTGTCCTTGGTCAGGATGGCATCCTGCATACATTATTTTAGGAATGTTCATTCATAACAGGAAAGGCAATCCAGCTAACTTACATAAGTTTTTCCAATTTATTTTCCCGCTCTTGGTCTTCTATTTTTAATTTTTCATAGTCTGAACTCAGTTTTTCTTGTTCCAGCTGCAACTTCTGATTCATACTGCAGAAAATAAAATAACTTAAATTAAAAGTGGTACTGCAGGGAGAGAAATACAAGCCATTATGCATTTGTCTTAAGATCATGATTACCCAATATACTTTCATTTCAAACTTTTAGGGAATTTTCTCATGATCATCTTAAATCTCAAATCAGTGTTGTTTCTGACATAGCTGTTACTCCATTCTATGTAATATTGAAGAGAAATGGGATACTACCCCCATTCCATTTCAGGCACTGGATTCTACTTCTTCAGGAGAACTTGAAATCTGTTTCCAATAAGGAGTACTCATCTCTCGTTATCATTCTACACTTTATCTCTAGTAACTACTAGAACAGTTTGTCACAAACAGTGCTCTAAATGCATCCCAAGGTATTGATTATTAATTACTTTGTTTAATACCATATTATATTTTGTATATTATTACAGGTTTTAAAATCCAGAATTATATGTATGCCTGGGACACAAACATGATACTTTGTCTGCTGTATTTTTTTTTATTATTATTAAGTAGGAGCACTTTATAGATAGTTCTTTGTTCTTTCTGCATTTATTTCTTTGTTTAAATCGCCACAAGAAGATTCTAGAAAAACACATCTGCAGTAGTACTCATCCGGTTTTCTTGAGGGCTTTGCCAATAAATATAAGCAATACATCATCAAATATAAATCAAATAGGTCATCAGCAATAGTCTGTGTATGGATATATAAAGGTAAAGGTTCCCCTTGCACATATATCCTAGTCATTCCTGATTTTAGGGGGCGATGCTCATCTCCATTTCAAAGCCGAAAAGCCAGCGCTGTCCGAAGACGTCTCCGTAGTCATGTGGCCAGCATGACTAAACGCCAAAGGCGCGCGGAACGCTGTTACCTTCCCACCAAAGGTGGTCCCTATTTTTCTACTTGCATTTTTACGTGCTTTCAAACTGCTAGGTTGGCAGAAGCTGGGATAAGTAACAGGAGCTCACTCCGTTATGCAGCATTAGGGATTCGAACTGCTGAACCTTTTGATCGACAGTCTTAGCCACTGAGCCACCAATTATTCAAAAACTGTACTGTGGAATGTGAAAATGAACATACTCTCTGATATTATCGATAATTTTCTGTTTCTCCTCAATCTCATCTCGTAATCGAGAGAGCTGCTTCTGATGAGCTTCCCTATGACTCTCCATCTGTTGCTCCAGGGTCTTCTGTTCATAGAAGAGATAAATAAATTACAATAATTTAATATTTTACTCATGGTTTTTCCTATTACATCAAATACAACCTGCATATATTACAATTGCTGAGATTCTTGTATATACCATTTTTTTTTTCATTCAAAACTAAGCTCATAAAATTAACATCAGTTTTCCCAATCATGTCCCAACAATTCTGCCTTCGGAACTAACCCATATATACGTGGTATATCCCTCTCATAAATCAAAAGGATATACAGAAGAAATTACTGATCTTGTGTTGGGGTACGTAAGGAGTTCAGTAAAATTTGGATTGTGTTTCTGTAGATGACCAGGCTGAACTTAAGGGCGGAGTTCAAACACACAATCAGTCTGGTGTCCCTATGCCCACAAAAAAGACCTAAGTCCAGCCCCCCTTGAAGTCCATTGACTCTTATCTCCTGCCAATTTGCCTTGACTGTTAGTAGATCAGATTCTTGTATAGGCTGTATAGATTCTTATATAGACTTTAGTAGATCAGATTCTTCTTGAAGAAATTCACAATGCTTTTATCCTATGGTTTTTTGCACCTGAGTTTCTTGTGGTACTAATACAGAACAGAGAACCATGCTACAAATTTAGCAATTCAAAACGTAAGGCCCAATATTCTCTTTTCTAGCAGGATATTACTCTATCTCAGAACTCAAATTAAATGGACTAAATGTCAGTATCTATTCAATAATTCCTGAAAACCTGATGACCTCCATTCCATTCGTACTCCACCAGTAACTTTAAAAGCGGTTGCTGTATTTTCCCGAGTGCTATGTCAGCCCTTGATACATAATCAGTATATGTGTATGTACACCTACCTATATTCACTCACTCATTCTTTCACATATACATACACACACACACATCTTATGTAACATTCCAGCAATATATCAACATCTAATTATAAAACAAAATAATTCTTAATAAAGCAATTCCCTTATGCTGCAAATCTATTTTATTTGTTATGTGAGCATGGGTATTATGGATGGTTTAAGTTAGTATCAAATGCTTTAGAAATGTATTATTACAAATACATGTAATATTTTTAACACACAAGCAATCCTGAATTTAGTTTACAATTATAGAAAAATGTTATGATTTGACTTGGAAGACATAATTTGACCTTGAGCATCCCTTTGAAAAGGGATTTGTAGTGAGAAACTGACATCATAAGTGCCAAATGCATACGTAAGATTTAAGTATGTGGAATAAAAAAGATGAAAGTTATCTTTGGGGTCATCTAAAATTACCTTCATTTCCTCTGCATCTTGTAACAAAGTCAGATGTTCCTTCTCTTTATCTTTGAAACTGACTTCATGCATTTTTTCTGTTCAAATGAAGAGGACAGTTGAGCAACCTTTTAATGGGATATAGTTTAAGAAGTATTAATCAAGCTCTGAAAAAGCCTTCCTTATACAAAAGATGACTTTTTACTTTTATTACCCTGCAGGGACAAAGAAACATTAACAGGTGTTTCGGCAGAACAATTTGTGTCAAGCTACTTTTAGCCCCTGGTTTTTAAGAAATACTTTCTTCCAACAAAAGCCAATTCCATTTGTGCTCCTAAAAATATCGCATTCCATGTGTTGCACACGTTCTCCCCATCTGTTGTCATGCCAGCTGTAATCTTTTAAAGCCCATCCCTGTGACCAATTCAGAAGATCAGAAGCCTCGGTTAAGTGGATTTGTAGCATTCTAGTATATGAACAATTGCCCTTGTACAACAAAATATGCCAATCAGCATGAGTTGAGTTTTGATACATGCCATATTGCAGCTAGTAAAGTATGTGTACACAGGCAGTCCTTCACTTACAACAGTTCATTTAGTGACCATTCGAAGTTACAACCACTGAAAAAAGTGACTTAGAACCATTTTTCAAACTTACGACGGTTGCCGCATCTTCATGGTCACATGATCCAAATTCAGCTGGTTGGCAACTGACTCATATTTATGACGGCTGCAGTATCCTGGGATCATGTGATCCCCTTTTGCAAACTTCTGGCAAGCAAAGTCAATGGGGAAGCCAAATTCACTTAACAACTAGGTTACTAAATTAACAAGTGCTGTGATTCACTTAACAACTGTGGCAAGAAAGGTTGTAAAATGGGGAAAAAACTCACTTAACAAATGTCTCACTTAGTAACAGAAATTTTGGGCTCAATTGTGGCCCTAAGTTGAGGACTACCTGAAAAACAGTTAGCTTCCTATGTAAAATTGATAGATTCCACTGGCATAATGTCACCAAAGCGGTATTAGTTCTCCCAATTTAGACAGCATTAACCCATTTGAAAGAACTTTGTGAATCCTTATCTCAGAAAGGAAGGTGACAATGGAAAAGAACTAGCAGACAAAAATCAACATACATTAGAAAAAATAAAATTCAAGGCAGCTATTGAGGGTTTGGAACAGGGGATTTGTAAAGTCCCTATCTCCTGAATTTATAGTACCTTGTGCCCGCAATTTGGCCAGCTCTTCATTAAGAGAGTCCTGCAATTCTTCCAACTGCCTTCGCTTCTGCTCCATATTCTGCATATAATCTGTAAGAGACTTGATCTTTGCTTCATGCTTTGGAAGTTGAAAAGAAAGCAAGCAGAAAACTGTGTGTTTAATGTACATAAAAACTATGAGAAACTGAATTTAAAAAAATAACAACAAAGAAACAGCTTAATCACCTGAGAGATGAGGAGCTGACAGGCAGCAAGTTCCCTCTCGTTGGCATTCATTTTTCTATTAGAATCTATCTGGGCACTCTCCAGCTGTTTGCTGCGATTCACCAGAGATTTCACTTCAGATTTCATTTTGCTGATGTACAGTCGTGCCATGGTAAACTCTTCTTCAATCACACCATTCACGTCAGCTAACTGAACACACACAAAAACCCTGCGTTATTCATCTTTTATGGGCAAATCTCCATTTTTTACTACCTGAACAGAAATGTAGACATCTGTACTCATTACTGAAATTGTTATGATGTATACTGTTCTTCCCTAACATCTCTGACACTTATGGATCCCCATCCCCCCTATTTATCTGTGGGTAGAAATAGTTATTAAATTGCTAGTACAAGTTTTTGAATATGAGTAATACTTTTTAGCGTTCCTTATAGCTTTACATCCCTTGCTCTCTACACTGCGATGCCATAACTCTACACCTTTATTATATTATGAGTTCTGGGGCTCAGTCAGTGGCTTAATGGCGCTGGAAATGGTCTCAGCTCCAGCAGTTCGAGCCCTAGCATTGCAAAGCAGGATGAGCTCCTGTCATTCACCTCAGCTTCAGTCCACCTATAACAGTTTGAAAGCATGTTCTATGCAAGTAGATAGATATAACTTTGGATGGGGAGACGAGCTGGTGCTCTGCGCCAGCAGTCAGATTCCTGACGGCTTTGTACTTTCCCGTTTGCAAGGCAGCTCCGTGAAGGGAGGGAGCCTTGAGTAATGTTGCAGGAAGAGCTGCTCATCTTTCTCTCTGGTGGGAAGCCAGCTCACCCTGTGGCACGCCTTGGGAAGTATGCAAGCATTTCCTATAACAGGGCTGGTACCTTTGCAAGCCAAATTATAACTCTGCAATAGCACTGTGGTCTCCTGACTACTGTAACAATGCCATATGATGATGATAATGATAATGATAATGATGATGATGATGATGATGATGATGATGATGATGATGATAAATATCATGCGTTCTCAAGACCTATCCATCATATAGTAAAAGTATTTTTATTTTTATTCACTACATAAAAATATGGAACTTCTTTCTACAGCTGTGACTATTGGTTCTATTGTATACAATTTAAGGGCCTGGTAGCTCAGCAGACTGATAGCATTGTGATTAACACCAGCTGTCTGCAATTACTGTAAGCTCGAATCTCACCAGGCTCAAGGTTGACTCAGCCTTCCATCCTTTCTAAGGTAGGTAAATTGAGGACCCAGTTTGTGGGGGCAATAAGCTGACTTTGTATAAATATACAAAAGGATGAAGGCTATTGCTTAACGCATTGTAAGCCGCCCTGAGTCTCCGGAGAAGGGCGGCATATAAAGCAAATTAAAAAAAAATAATTCCATTATTTTTCTCTCTCCCTACAATACTTTGGCTCTAATCTCATAAAAGCCTACCCTGAAATAAACCTACCAGCCTTCGCTGCCAAAAGTGCCTATTTCCAATAAAGAGGGTTATTTAGGAAGAGAATGCAATAGTAAAAAAAATTAAAAGCATTGCACTGACTAAATATTGGCTGTATCAATCAAATGCACTCCATATAACCTGCTTATCCCTCTCTGGGATCAAATCTGAAAGCTTTATACTTAGATCTGATTTAGTTGTAAGGACTGAGTTCTGCATGCTGTATATACAGTCTTCTCTAGTCTTTGCATCTTTCTGATATGTGAATTCCCAGAATTTTCAACCAGCATAGCCACTGCTGAATATTTGGAAAGCCGAGATATACACATCTGGGAGATGCTCAACTAATGAGTAACAACTATATAATATCAAATACACAACATCAATGTATCTATTAAAAAAGTGGGATTAGAACACAATGTCATAGACATCATCTTGTTCATTTTCATCTCTTTCGCTATGGTTCACTACCTGGTTTACTATCCTCAAGGATTACTTTTAATTTAGTCATTATTTTTAAAGTTGAAATATTTCTGTCTTGCTGTATTGTTTTCTGCAATACCAGCAACTTACTGTTTTCACATCATTAGTACCAATGATTCCGCCAATCTCTCCCAGGTCCTTAAGCAATAAATTCAATATTTCAGTAGCTCTCTTCTTCTGATGATTACTAAGTTCTTGCAACTGTCCCAGCTCTCTTTGCGTACTTGACAGAGCAGACTGCAAAATAATAAGAATAATAGTTTACATAGTGAATTATGATGAAAAGCAATTGCATGCCAACTTTGTTTTCAAAGGTTATGCTGTGTTTTCTACATTGAATGTACTTGGAAAGACACTATTTCCTAAAATCTTAAAGCTATGAGTGAAACACCCACAGTCTACTTTATAAAGAAGCCTCAAACTGAACATCACTTTTCATTTGGGATATAAACAATAGTCAAGCTCTCTCCAATTATACAAAAAAAAAAAAACACCATTCAATTTTTGGTACCTTCATTCATTTTGTTACATTCATTCGTATTTGCTCTCATTAAATTAAGAGAAACTCTCTAGATCAGATAGGTGGCTTTATATTTAAGCTCAACTATTTATTTATTTATATTTATTTCATGTCTTATAGAAGTTTGGCAGAAATGAAGTATCCAGAACTATGCCCTTACTCTATATGTCCCAGTTTAAGGTAGGCATTAAAAAGAATTAGGCATTAAATGAAAAAAGACCGTAACCTAGCTATTATGTGGCAGAGAAATAATTCCCAGCAACACCTTCTGGAAACTCAAGGTAGAATCAGTGGAAGGTAGATTTAACTTCCATTTTAAAACATGTATAGAGGTACACATACAGAAATTGTTAAATCTGCTAGTAGCTAAAGCAGATCAAGCCACTGGAAAAAAACAGAATGCTATTTCTGCGACCAAATTCTTTTGCTGTTAAATGTCAAGCATGCAATGGGAAACAAGGCAGAGGTGAGTTTCAGCAGGTTCTGACCAGTTCTGGAGAACTGGTAGCAGAAATTTTGAATAGTTCAGAGAACCAGTAGTAAAAATTCTGACTGGCCCCACCCCCATCTATTCTCAGCCTCCCAAGTCTCAGCTGATTGGGAGGAAATGGGAATTTTGCAGTAACCTTCCCCTGGAGTGGGGTGGGAATGGAGATTTTACAGTATCTTTCCCCTGCCATGCCCACCAAGCCACGCCCACCATGCCACACGCACAGAACAAGAAGTAAAAAATTTTGAAATCCACCACTGAAACAAGTGATCTTCTCATATATTTTCCAGCAGAAAATTATTATACTGCTTTTTAAAGATTTCAGCATTCACCATTTTAGCATTCACTGCAACAACAATATGGCAAATGACATGCTAACAATTTTCGCAAAACTGGTTCTTTAGCAGTTTGCTAAAGAAAATTCTCTTTTTATTTTAATGAACACTTCAAACAGCTGAATTTCTCTGGAATGTTGCAGAACACCAATAGCATAACAGGTGTGTATATCTGGTAAAGGAGATGTCGAAGATATCTCACATGTTTTATGTGATGTCAAAGATATCTCACATGTTTTATTGTACTGTGAGTTATACAGAGTTTATAGGTCGGTGTATATTCTCCCCTTATTAGAGAGATTGCCAGGGAGGGCAGACAATTTTTATGTAGGCTTTCTCCTTCAGGACTGAAACCCGGCTATCATGTGTGCAGTGGCAAAATTCTGTGTTGCTGCAATGTCCACAAGAAAAAAAAAATGGTTACAGAATTATAGCTGTCAACTTGTGCCAATTTTGTGGAGATACCTCTAACAATTTTTGGAAAATTATATTTACTCACATTGGCTCTCCACTCACGTAAACTAGGGAGTGACCCTAACTGTTTGAGAACATGTATTTTCTTAACAGGGATGTTATTATCCACTATTAATGTCAGTACTATTTTTTAATATATTGTAAACAGTGATGTCTATTGATGGTCTATGACCATAATAAAGTTATATTCTATTCTTCTATTCTTTGGAGTGTTTAATGAGGTCTTAGTTGGGATTCATAGAAGGCCTCTACAAATTAGTATAATGTATCTAGGAATGAATATTAATAAGGATTGTTCCTACTGTTTTCAGTGCAAGTTCATCTGTCAGCTGTTCATTAGCTCTCATCTTGTCCTCCACTTCTTGTGATTTCTGGTCATAATTAACAGCGAGTTCCTCCAAAGCCTGGAGAACTTCTTTAACTTCCTCTTTTGCAGCTTCATTTTCAAGCTGAAGACGAGTAAGTTCCTCTTGTATTTTCTCATAATCTCTCCTGGTGGAAGCCAAGAGCTGAAACAGAGCGAATGAGATTAAGTAACAAAAATGATGGACAAAAATAAAATAATTCAAAAGTGTTATATTCAATTTTATTCCAAATCAGGAAGAATAAAAATACTAAATGACCAGGAGAAATTTATGACAGAACAATTAATCAGTGAAACAGCTTGCCTTCAAAAATTGTGGGTGCTCCATCACTGGAAGTTTTTAAGATGAGATTGGACAACAATTTGTGTGAAATAGTATAGGGTTTCCTGCCTAAGCAGCAGGAGGTTGGTCTAGAAATCTCCAAAGTCCCTTCCAACTCTGTAGTTCTGTTAATGTTAGTCTGTTAAACCTAACTTGATCAAGTACTATAAAGGTTGCCAAGTTTCTAGCAATAATTGTGGTTTATTGAAGTCATCGATTCTTTCTTATTATTATTAATCTTTTCATGTGTTTTTGGCTTTGTTTTGTCTTTTAAATTTTGTATTTGTTTTGTATTAGTCTAGGGGAATGCATAAATAAACAAACAACAAACTTACTTCATCTTGATCCAACATCTGCTGTTTTAGTTTCTCAGCCAATTGACTCTGCTGGTTAATTTCATCATCCTGCAGTGGACAAAAAAGGGTTACTTTTTCTATTTCTAACATTTTTATGCCTTGAAATCAGCTAGCTTCCACACTAGACATGGCAATAAATCTTGCCTTTCCAGATACTTCACTCCATATTCAGGAATTTGCTTCTAAGCAGAAGCTCACAGACCAAACTCAGCTAATTTAATTGCTTTATTGCAGTAAACAGAAAAGCCATAAATATGCAGAACACAGAAGCCAAGCTATTTCTTTTCATCTCTCCCCCCACCCTTCTCTCTCTCCCTTTCCTCCAGGGGACGAAATTCTAGGCCTTTTTTCATGTCAATGGAAATTTGGCCATTCCTTTCCTAACATTAAGACTGAGGCAAATATCTTCAGTATTTACATAACAGTTATGTTCATCCTGAGAATTTCTGATTCCTGTCTCACTAGCTCATATATCAATATAAAAGTGGATGCAGTATTTCCTCCAATGTAAAATACTATGGAAACCGAATGTACCATTGTTGCATCGCAGGGGGAAAACCCCATCAAACATAATTTGCAGACTAAAAAACTTAGTTCCAACCTTTATCACTAAAACATATCATTCTAACAGATGCAAACAAGTAGAACCATAAATCAATCTTATCTAGTCCCCAGTGTAAAACTGATTCTACAGAACACAGAAATCTTTTGGAGTTTGGCATAATTATGGATTCATTTGGTTTTTATTGTATCATCTGCATCATTCTACAAGTTAATAGTATTTTAAATCAGTAGCTGGTTTCAAAGACACCTCAATTCTATCTTTTTATCTTACACAATTATACATTGATTTGACATATAAATGCACTAGGTTTGATTATTAAGAATTCCTTATTTTGTTTGTAAAACTTCTTATAATGGAACCTTTGGTGGTATAAAACTGCATCATTCTTCAACATGAAGGTATAAATGTGTCATACCTTTCATGAAATGTGTCATTTCTTTATTGTACTATTTGCTGCAAGATCAAAATGCTCCTACCTTAAAAAATTATAGTCACTGCCTACAAAGACCACTGCAAAACTACAGAATGTTCCAGAATGCATCAGCCTGAATAACAACTTGGTTTGGCCATATAATACTGCTAGTTAGAGTCACTGGTTGGTTTATGGGTGTTGAACAAACAGCTGAGGACCTGGATATTTATGAGACTAGTTATTTCTGACTAGAACTCTTTGATAAGAAACTAATATTCTACAGACTTCTGATACGAGGTATGATTTAGTTATGCATTCTAGATCAGGAGTGTCAAACTCAATTTCATTGAGGGCTGCATCAGGGTTGTGTTGACCTCGGGGAGGCCAGGGGGCATGGCCAGGGTGGGTGTGGCCAGTTCGACGTCACTCATGTCAGAGGCGCCTGTGGTGGCCCGAGCGCTCTGCCAGCTAAATGGGCTCCCATTTTTGGTTGTGATGGCCTCTTGCCATCGGGAGGGCTCTGTTTTCAGTGGCAGAGGCACCGTGGGCCAGTCTTTTGCTTTTTCTAGGGTGCCCCCCCCGGCCAGATCTAAGCACCCCGCAGGCCAGATCCAGCCCCTGGGCCTTGAGTTTGACACCCCTGTTTTAGATGTAATTTTATTACATTAGGAAAAAACCCCCAAAATCTCAGATCTATAACCAACTAAATTGCTGGATTTCTGCATATATTACTGCAACCTTGTGCAAGTTGTGTAGCTTTTAGTGTTATCTAGCACTTTTTTTGTCTTTCAGTAAGAAGTTATTTGATCATTTGACTGATTACTTGGGATTGAAAAGAAACAATTTTAATTCATCAGTTTCAGCAGAACTGAATAGCAAGCTTGCGAGAATGAAAATACTGGTAGTGCTTTATATATAATAATATAGTATATACTATGTTTTGTAGAGTTTGAAGCACACGCTGATTTTTATTATGAATAAATATTAATAATGTATGATCAACAAACAATTGAAAGGAAATTATGAATGGACCTTATCATCCAACTGTCTGTAGAGACTAGTAACCTCTTCTTCATATTTCCGCTTCTCCTCAGATGAGATGCTGGCAACAACGGGAACGATATTATCAATGATAGGCGTATTGTCACATGGTTCCAAGTTCTTCTGGTCTTTTGCACTGATCTGCTCTTCCTCTGGTACTGCCTCTCCTGAAGACACATCAGATCCCAAGAGAGTAAGCCTCAATCTTTACCTTTATTTCAACTCTCCTGTTGGTGCTTATAGATAATTTTTAAGGAATTTAATTGTGCCATCAGCACAGCCAGACAACTGGAACTATAAATAAATACAGCTGGATTATTCAAAGACATCATTTGTCCCCCTACAGAGTGTTTCAAAACAGAATACTTTTTTTTGTTGTTGTTGCTAGATCTGATCGTTATTAATTTGACTCTTTGGATTGGATCGAGAAATATGATGCAGCCTCTTGTCTGAATTAGGGATGATTTTTGTAAACTCTCTGCAGACACAAATTCACTTCTAATATTCCAAACAGCTACCAAATTGTTCAGCAATTGGGTGGCATTAATTACAAGAAAAGGCTAGCTTTCTCAATGGTCTGCTCGTGCAAGGACTTTCCCCATGCCAAATGATCACTTCCATTGGCATCTCCATGGAAATGAGATCCCCTGGACCAACTTTTTCCTCTTACAATGCATGGTAAATTTGTAAGCATTTCTTGCTAGGACTTCATATGGAGGGACCTTGGAGGTCTTCTAGTCCAACTCTTATGATGTTAAGTTATGTTACGTTATGTTACGCTATGTTATATTGTTATTCTATTCTGTTTTGTTCTGTTCTGTTCTGTTCTGTTCTGTTCTGTTCTGTTCTGCTCTGCTCTGCTCTGCTCTGCTCTGCTCTACTCTATTATCTTATGTGTCATGAGTTCTCAGTTTATCTTACAAATATTCTTATTGTGGTTTCCTTTAAATGATTGGCCAGCATGTGCTAGAAAGGAGTAAAACTCCAGTGGTGACAATAGATTTAGAAATAGTTATTGGGAGTCAGCTGTACCCAACTTAAGAGGAAAAAATACTTAGAAAAGGAAAGGCAATGTCTGTAGTTTCTGGGTCTTCCTCCTTTCCTTTATTAAAGATAAAAATGACATTAGAAAGATAATCTGATTTAGTATTCCAAATTACTATATTCAAGTACATATGTATAATTTTTTTTAGTTTTTGATATTATTGAATATTAAACACACAAAGAACTTCAGAAGCAAGATTACAGATGAAAAAAAAGTATGAGATGATCAGTACGAAAAGAATTTGGCAGCAGTCCATCTTTTTGTTTCTAAAAGCCAACTTCAAAGACTAGTGATAAATCACAGACACACTATAACTAAGCTTGAAGAGTCTGCTACAATAATAACTAAAATGGACTTAACTAGGCTACATGTGAAGTACATACAGTATTTATATCTTCATTTGGCATTAAGCCCTACTCAATATGGAGTCCATATGGGAAGATTGCACTATAAACACCATTAACTCCATGAATAGCTCTAGAAACATACTGTAGGTGATCTTTAAGAGATGTATAAGAATGTATATTTCAACATATATGGAAAATGTCAATTAATAGTTGAATATGAACTCATCATTATTATTCAGTATTTTTAAAATCCTGGCCCGTTTTTGCTTCTAAATGTAAGAGAAAACTTATGATGGTTACAGCACTTAATAAAGCCTGACATACTTGAGTCTTACTGTGGGAAATTAAATTTTAGATCTCATGAGAAATTGAAATTTTGGAATTATTCTTATTTAAAAATAGCAGGAAAGGGGAAAGTAGAAATTGGGGGCTGAAAAGAAAAAGAGAATATTAAAGATGCTGTTAAAACTTCTATTTTTTATCCCAAACTCGCTGAATTGCAATTTATTTATTGAATGCCCCCTTTATTATTCTTTTATAAAAATCTCAGGCAATGAGCATATCTAATTCTTTGAGGGATGACTCAGCCAGCAAGCTATGATGACTAAGATGGGACCAAAACTCCTTGCTTTCCAGCCTGGTGCCTTAATCATAGTCATGTACCTGTATGTGTATACTTTAAAGCAGGGGTCTCCAACCTTGGCAGCTTTAAGACTTGTGGACTTCAATTCCCAGAATTCCTCAGCCAGCAAAGCTCATAAGTCTTAAAGTTGCCAAGGTTGGAGACCCCTGCTTTAAAGTAACAACATTCACCATGTTCCTTGTTTGATTCTTAAGAAGCCATTCAAATTCCAGAAACTTAAACTACAAGGGTAACATTTTTACTAAGGGTGAACTATTCAATAATATCAAAAATTAGGGTGAAAATATGCATATGAATTTGAATAGTACACAAGTAATTTAGAATACTAAATCAGAGTATCCTCCAAATGTTATCTTTATCTTTAACAAAGGAAAAGAGGAGGACCCAGGAAACTACAGACATGGCAGCTTTACATCTATCCTGAGCAAAGTCCTTGAACAGATCATTAAACAGCATGCCTGTGGGTACTCAGATAACCATGCTACAATTAACAGAAGCCAACAGCACTTTTTCCCAAACCATCCATGCTAAACTGACTTTATCTTCTTCTTTGACAGAGTGAATACCTTAGCTGATCAGTTAATGTTTTCTTTGTGTGTTTTGCATTCTATATCTCTATAGCATCACAAAGAAATGCTTATTTCTTGCAATATAGCTAAATTCTGTGCTACCATCCATTCCACACCTAGCATGTTATCAAGGGCAAACCAATAGCCAATAGAAGGATGATGGTGTAGCAGGTACTTAAGACTGTGGGAGTACTTTAGGGAAGGAAAAGCTCTACAGTGTTTGGCTTATAAGCTACAGCTTTATTAATCATGAAATTGTGTTTCCTGAATGTATATTTATAACTTGAATTCTTCTTATCTATCATAATAAAATAAAGGATGTTACCTTCTTGGTTATATTATGGTTTACAAACCCAGAAACAGCAATCAGATTTTACTCTCATGCAATGCATTTAATATGGAGAATGCCTTCATCTAAATCCTACACTATTTTTGCTTTTAAGTTCATGACAAATTAAAATATAACTCCTGCCTTCTAATTTATTAACAAAATCTTTTCCATGTCTCTCATTTAATCCAAGCCTGCACTGCACTGAAACAGTCACAAAAGGGGATTGTGAAAATCCAATGTTTGTTCTACCTTTTCTACTTAATGAAGAAAATAGCACCACAACAGACCTGAGCTCTAGGAATGAACTCTATTGATATATTTCTAGAGATACAAAGAGAAAACTTTATCATTGCTAATATTTGGTTTACTTTGCAACAAAGGTTCTAAATAGTGAACTCACCATTCCGCCACCTATTCAGTTCCATCTCCAGATGCTGGATAACATTTTTTAATGTCTTGTTTTTCTCCTTCTCTTTTTCATATTTCTTTTTCCATTCCTCAGCAGTCAACTCAAGATTCACAGAAACTGTATTCTTAATTGTTTTCGCTCTGTCCAAAAAACCCAAACCAAACACAGTCTTAGCTAATGCACTCTGTTTAATAAGTGAATATTCAGATATAAACCACGGTTGCAAACAGAGTACAAATTTGCCCTCAGGTTCAGTAATGTGTACAGTACTTTCACATTTTATTATTTATTTTATATAATTTATCAATTTATCTTCTAGTGTAGACTTCCCCAACCTTTCTGGGTTGGCAACCTGGAGGCAAGGACAGGCACCTTTACCTGCACACACAAATGGGGCTGCACCAGGGGTGGGTTCTACTTACCTTTACTACTGGTTCGCAACAGGAGTGCATGTGTGAAGATCACCAGATGTGATGTCAGGGCGGGTGGGCGGAGCCTCCTGCCATTTTTACTACCGGACAGAACCGGGAGCAACCCACCACTGCGCTGCACCCATGGCACCCACAATGCTACCACCCACAGTGACACTAGCACAAGTGTGGGTTGTGCGCACTTGCACAGACACACATACACACACACTGGCCTACCACTCACACGTCCCAGTGGCCAATAGGCCACGGCTCAGCAGTGGGCCGTAGCCCAAGGTTGGGACCCCTGTCCTAGTGCTTAATGCTCAGATCACCCATAGGACTACTAGAGGTGTTGAAATTAGAACAATTAATCAGTGGAACAACTTGCCTGCAGAAGTTGTGAATGTTTAAGAAGATGTTGGATAACCATTTGTCTGAAGTGGTGTAGGGTTTCCTGCCTAAGCAGGGGGTCGGACTAGAAGACCTCCAAGGTCCCTTCCAACTCTGTTATTCTATTCTAAATATAGCAATTGCATATCAGCCTTCATCGCTCCTTCCTTCAGTGAACAAGGCTCACAGAAAACACTGCCCAGGTCACTTCTGTTGGCTGAAATATTCAAGTTGCTGTAAGGGAGCCCTATATGTGCTTGCCTAATAGTGGTGAGATTTGACAGGTTTCCAGACTGTTAATATGTTATTTCTTCCCCCAAAGTGCTGCCAAGAAGGAAGCTTAGCTTAGCCCTGAACAGGTAGGGCACAATAAAAGAAACAACAGGTAGGAAGAGATGGCTAGGTGACAATAAGAGGGAATTAGGGGAGGAAATGTGAAACTGATCGAAGGCACTTGGCCTGTCCCTCATCATCAGAACTTCTATACAATACATGAGGATTAGAGTCTTTTATGAACTACAGAATAAGCTCAAGCTAATGTATACTGTCAATTCCTGTGTGACAAAGATCTCCCTCACTCCCTCTCTCTCTCTCACACACACACACTTATGAAAGCTCAAGGTTTGGCTATCGATTAAATTTAAAAGGCAAATATACAGCTAGTTCTTGACTTATGTCTGGTTGCTTGAGTACTGTTACAACAGACCATGGAAAGCTACTTATGACCCAGATTTTAAGTTCCACTGTTGGAGGGGGGAGGCAGAGTCACATGACTACACTTTGGGTGTTCAGCAACTAGCCCACATTTATGGCCATTTTCAGCTCCCTGCAGCCATGCGATTTATGATGGTTTTGCTGGAAAATCCACATTTACACCAGATTTCCAACAAAATCAAATGACCCATAGCAAACAATGGGTTTGCTTAACAGCTCTGGTGTTCACTTAACAACTAATGCATTCACCCAACCACCACCACAAAAATGGTCATAAAATTGAGTCTGGTCACATAGTGACCCATTTTACAACCATCATGACTTATGACTGTAATTACCAGGCTCAATTATGCTCGTAAAGTTGAGGACTATCTGTATGCATTCATACATTTAAAAAGTAGAGACTGGATAATCATCTATCGGGGGATGGTAAAATAAATCCTGCAATGAGTAGGGAGTTGGATTTGATGACCTCTTAGGTTCCTTGCACTCTATGATTCTATGACAAACAAACCCAAATTGCAAAACGAGCGAATCCAAGAATGTGCAAGAGCAAAGGCTGTTAATCTCTCTGGTTCTCAAATGAGGTTTATATTAAAATATTCAAATTCCAAAGATATCCTGAAATAAAAACTAAATATATTCCTGCAGAATTGAATTTAGCTAAGGTGCTAAAAACAGAAGGCAAATTTAACTTGTTTGACAATCAGCAGTATCTATGAATGGAAAATTTGCTTGTTTTCTTTTTGCTGATTTTTGGCTCATTTTTTTTTCAAAGTCCCCGCAGGTAAAAAAAAAAAAAAATCCACTTCTTAGATCAGTATCTTCTTTATTTCCTTATATGAATAAACAAGTCAGTCTTCTGCACCAAGGAATGAAAGGAGACACATTTTCAAAAAATGGCTCAAGAGGCCTGACAATTAGTTTATAAATTATATGTTATCTCTCCACTACCAAAGCAATGGACTAAAATGATTTAACCAGTTTGAAATGTCATTGATTGCTCACTTTATTACATCTGCAGAAATATTAACTTTACAGCTCTCTCTCTCCCTCCCTCTCCCCCTCCCTCCCTCCCTCCCTCCCTTTCTCTCTCTCTCTCCCTCTCTCTGTGTCCCCTGAAGAGTAAGGTCAAAGAAATCTATTTTGTTTTCTCCATTTCTTATTTTTCCACTTTTAAACATTTCTACTTCTGTTTCATATTAAATCTTACATATACTATCATATTCATAATATACATATCCCCCCAAATGCATATTTTGCAACAATTTCAATCGATTTAATGTATTTTATATTATTTTTTAACAATAAATAGAATTGTGATTGACATTTTTCTCTATTATGCTAATCACGATGCATTTTATTGGAGAACTATATTTCATTTCATTTATTGGATTTATAAGCTGTTATATGTCATATCTTTACTCTCTGCTCCACCAAAGCCACTGATAGAAATTTTACTAAGTTCTAACAATGTTTTGATGCTGCCTGGAAGATTAGATGTCTATATGTTTTTACAGGTCTTAGAAAATGTTAGTGACACTCATCTAACTAATTTATGGCAGAAATAGCTATTCACATCAACATAATTGCTAGAAAATCAATATAGTCCCATCAGCCTCTGAACCAGTAAAGCATTGATGCATAAAATTAAATCATATCGAAAATTCTTTTGCTGCATGCGCAATTTTATTCTTGACTACTTTCTCAAAATTATTAGAATATCATTGCTGCTTGTTAGTGGAAATTTCCAGGCCCATCAATATTTTTATATTCAGCTTTAATTGGTGAATGTAATTTCTGCTGTGAAATCTTGCTGCAACCTTCTTTCATATTTCTCAGCACATTTTACTAAATAACACAGCACATTAAATGGCAATTATTGTCTTTATCAAAAGAAATAGTGTCTGTCTGTTTGCCCGCCTGCCCGTTGGTCTCTCTCTGTTTGTATAGATACTAATTTGACTTTTTTTCTTAAGGCCTAAATCACAATTCCTTTGTATTTGTATTCATACAACATATGGCACCTCTCTACTGAAGTTTATACTTAAAATAATCTGTTTCAGTTACTTTGATTTTAACCTGTTTTAGTAACAAAGTAAAGATGAGTAATAAGTAAATATACTTATTTACAAGTAAAGATGAGTAATGAGTAATAAGTAAATAGAGCCTTGATAGTACAGTGGTTTAGTGCACCCTGTTATTAACACAGCTGCCTGCAATTTCTGCTGGTTCGAATCTCTCCAAGGCTCAAGGTTGACTCAGCCTTCCATCCTTTCTAAGGTAGGTGAAATGAGGACCCAGTTTGTGGGGGCAATAAGCTGACTTTGTATAAAATATACAAAAGAATGAAGGCTATTGCTTAACGCATTGTAAGCCGCCCTGAGTCTCCGGAGAAGGGCGGCATATAAATCAAATTTAAAAATAAATAAATAAATAAAAGGCAGATATTTTTTTCAAAAGACATTTATGCTTGCTCACCTTTGTCCAAACATTAGAGTAGACTTGCTTTCTGCTTCATTGAAAATGGATGGGGAGCAACATATGACAATGGTGGTTCTACAGTTACCACCTAAGGAATCTTGGAGAATTCGGGTCATTTTGCTATCTCGATATGGGACGTGAGTTTTCTAATTAAGAAAGATGAGAGGTTGAAACACATGCACTCACACAAAAACATTCAAAGGCTGTTGCTGACATTTGTTGGCAATGTTATAATTTTGATTTCCTTTTTAAAAAAAACTTTATTAGTTCATCACAATATAAAATACAAATAAAATGAAAATAATGGGAAACTAGGGGAAGAAAGGAGGAAAAGAAGAAAGTATAAGGTAGAAGTGGGAAAAGGAAAAAAAGTCATTGACGTCTGACTCTTTTTAACACAGTAGAAGATAACATTGCAGCCTCAACTTTTTGCTTTTACACAATATATACTAGCCATACTATAATTTGGATTTCTGTACATAAACGCCTTCCAAAATATAAATTATGTATCTTGATATACATATGGGAGAAGGGTGGAATATATTTTCAGGGTATTTTTAATTGCTACAATAATAATTTTAAAAACACGTAATATATTTAATCGCTCAATGTTATTTTTCTTCAATATTTTGTTTGAAGGAAAAAAGGGCCTTTTGTATTTTCTGCTTTTTCTCCTCATGCTTTCATCTCTCTTCAGCTGTATCCTCTGCTTGTTCAAATGTTTTATTTGTACAACCTGATGGGTGTCTACATACACCACAACCCATGCATAAATAATTCCAAAGAAGGCATTTGCTTAGGCTAGCTATCCTAGTGGCATCAACTATAACAATGTGATGCAAATATCTGCATGTGAGAACTTAATATTTATTCATGAACGTATTTATCAATGGGATCTAACATACTTTCATCAGACAATGCTGGGCTGGTTGCTTTTGGATACAATGCTGGTTAATTCTTCTATTTATTGTAAGCTTAAATTGCAAGAGGGAGGGAGGGAGGGAGGGAGGAAGAAGGAAGGAAGAAAAGGACTTACAGTTCCTTCTGCCAATGCTGAAATCACATTACCCAGTGCAGACAAAGACTTGTTAATATTTTTAGCTTCATCAAGAACAGATCCCTCAGCTCCAGTTTTGCTGACCTATCAGAAAAAAAACATGTTATTGAAAATGAACTGAGTTCATACTCTTTAAAGACAGGTAAAAACAATGATGTTATATTTAGAAGAAACACATAATACTGTCTGTCACATCAGAAAAATCTACAATACTTTCAGTTCATCCAAAACCGCATTAAGTAAACGGTATTTCACTCACATTTCATGAATTTCACTTACATTTCCAATATCCATCAAAGCAGCTTAGAAGGCCAAATCTATCTGACCGTAGCTAAACACTGGCATGCATTCTCAGATCATTCTCATATTTTTACAGATTCTTATACAATAAAACCTCAATTTTCCAGACTTCCATTCAGCAAATTTTGCTTCAGGCTTTATTCCCAATTGTGCCCATTGTTTCTAGAATAGTTTGGACAATTAATGTAAAATATGTTATTTGCATCAGTTTACATCATAACTTTAAATATGTAATTATTTTCATCTCATGTAAATCTATTGCACCAGTTTACATTATTTGCAAATAACATGAATAGAGCAAATGAAGTAAAATGTAAATTATGTGAACTCAGTTAAATTGAAGTTTCACTGTGTACAATAGTACCCAAAAATAACTTTATATATCTGAAGATAAAATTGCAAATCTTGTCTGAAATATGTTCATCTCTTTTCAGGGGGATTTGGAGTTAGATATTCACTAGGACATGCACACAAATATGCTAATGTGCCAACAAAAAAATTCTACTAGACAAGTGAATCTGGAGGGGAAAAAAGTAAAAAAAGCAAGGAATAACGATACAGGAAAAAAATGCCCTTTATAATTTAAAGATCATCCAAAACATTTGGAGGCTACCTTGTTCAAAAACATTCAGAAACTGAAATGATTTTTTAAAAAATAAATTTAAAGCCACTGTTTAAAGATACTGTATGTTTCAGTTATCTTGACAGAAAAGACTTTACAAAATAAATAATTTTGCAGCAATAGCTGAAGTTTGGGCTGTCACCTTTTTGTTAGCTATTACTTCATTTATTTAAGACAATAGATAAGGTATTTAGGAATGGCTTATCTCCTATCTCAACTCATAAAACATTGTTTTGAATTGGCACATATTATATCCAATATATTATTTGCTTGAAGGGCAATCATGTACCCGTCCCTGAGGGAGATGGGAGGTTTAGAAATAGGAAATATAAGGAAATAAGTAAAATCTAAAGCCTTTATACATTTCAAGTGTGATTTATTATACTAAATCATGAATTCCAAAAGATCCTACCTTGTAATCAAGAATTTTATGTGTAGCAGTAACAGGATCATTACCTTTTCACTCCCAGCAAGATCTACCAGATAAAGTTTCCCACTGAGTTTTTTTTCAGTTTCCACATTCTCTTGTTTGATATTAATTAGGAAGATACTGTGACTTCTAGAACTGTGTTCATTCATGTCTAAGAAAATAAAATGCAATAAGCTAATCGTGCTCTTTAAGGTTTTTTTTAAATCTATGTCTTCTAAATTCCATTAAACCATCATCCTCATTTGATTTCCTTGGTTTTTATCAGCGAAGACTAAACTTGGTCCTTACCTGTGATTGCAGTTCTTCAGAATTCATTTCTGAGTTTGCATGGATGCCAACCCATGTGTATCCTTCTGAGAACTTACTGAATTGTCTGCCAGGAGCCCTGCTCCCCACACATCACGCACAATCAAGTGATTTACAACTGGTCTTCACCGTTGCAGTATCCCCATAGTCACATGATCCAAATTTAGGCACATAGCAACTGGCATGTATTTATAACGTTTGCAGCCTCAAAGTGTCATGTGATCACCATTTGCAACCTTCCCAACTGGCTTCCAGTGAGCGAATTCAAGCTGGATTCACTGAACAACCACATGACTTACTTAACAAGTTTGCTGAACAACTGTGACAAAAAAGGTCATAAAATCAGGGACAACTCTCTTAATAACTAACTTGCTTAGTGAAATGTATTGGCTGGATCAAGGACAATGGACAATGCGAAGATCATGTAATTAACCATTTATTAACAACAGCTGGGCTAACTACCACAGCAATAACTGAAACTGCTTGGAACTCTGCCTGACAGCTCTTATATTGCCAGCTGTCAGGCGGCTTAACCAATCAACGAACAGAATGTTACTTTAACCAATCAATGAACAGAATGTTACTTCCTACTTTAGCAGACTTAATACATTGCACCTAGCAATAGCAATGGATATTTTGGTCCCAACTGTGGTGGGAAGTCAAGGACAACCTGTATAGTGGGAGAATTGAAGTAATCTGTTGGGTTTACGGCAAGAAGAGGGCATGTTTTGGGAGGGGGGTTGGTTTATGAGGTGGTTGGGCTCCTGGATGAGGAGAATAACTCTGGCCCAGTTAAAAATAAGTTGTTTTTATTGTTTTCACATTCCGACAGGCACTTGAATACAGGATTAAAGCACAGAACCCAGGTCCATCTAGAGCATTGGTGAAACTCAATCGCGTGACATGTTGTATCGTGACATACCACGACATTTTTTGCCTTTGTGGAGCCGGGGTGAGTGTGGCCCGTGTGTGACACATCCGGCCCCTGGACAACCAATTTGACAGGCCTGATCTAGAGTATAAGGCTAGAATTGTATTAAGAGGGTCTATCTCTTTTTGTATTGAGTGTGCACAACCTAATCTTCCTTTGTTATCTTTCATTATGTTAAACTTATTTTGAATGAATCCTGGAGTAGACTGGTTGTCTTCTAACACCTGATTCAGCATGGCTAAGCCATCAACTCCCTAAGTTTTGTTTTTCCCTTTCTTTAGCTATCCAAGAGCCAGGGAAGGATGCAGATTTCCCCTTCAAGCTTGTTCTGGTTCCTCCAGAGATCTGGTGTGGAAATTAAAAACTGGTTTATAATTAGGGAATCTAATTTTCCACTCACTATTCATCTCCACACATGGGTTATATCGGAATCAAAGTATCCAAAGAGAGGCCTGATTCAACTTGTCAGTCATTCAGTCATGTACAACCTTTGGCCCAGGGGTGAAATGCTCCCGGTTCGGACCGGATCACCCGATCCAGTAGCGATGGCGGCGGGTGGTTTAGAGAACCGGTAGCAAAAATTCCTGCCCCTCCCCCATGCCCAGCTGAGCCGCGCAATCATCAGAGGCTTTTTTTTATTTTTAAAAGTATTTTTTCTACAACCTCTTCAGCCAAAAAAAATGCTTTTAAAAGTAAAAAAAAAAGCCTCTGATGATCGGGCAGCTCAGCTGGGATCGTCAGAGGCTTTTAAAAGCATTTTTTCGGCCGAAGAGGTTGTAGAAAAAATGCTTTTAAAAGTAAAAAAAAAAAAAAGTTGGCAATGCCCATCGTCACATTAACCCCCCCCAAGCCACGCCCACAGAACCGATAGTAACAAATTTTACATTTCACTACTGCTTTGGCCACTCTTGGATCAATACTCTCCATGCCCCTTTGTCTTGCACTGCCTCCTTTAGATCCACCATGGTCATCCCAGTGTCATCCTTTATAGAAGCTAGCCAACGGGTACTAGTGAGGCCCCTTCAAGCCTGGCGTACCTTATTACACATTTATATCTTTGTAGTTTACATGCTTGTTAAAAACTTCAAAAAAAAAATCTAGAATGTTTTATCACCATTTTAAATTATAAAACATTATAATGATTTATAATCAAGTGCACTTATACAGTTGTATCCACTAATCATCTCATGAAATACTTTTGCCAATACAACTGTGGAATATTGCTTACTTAACTGTTCAGAAAATAATGGCCATACATTTTTAAATATTTGACCTTGAAAACATTAACTCAGGTTTAATGCTCCTGGTTGCTCAGCAATAAAGGCTACATCCCATGAAATGTTTATTTTAAGAGAAATTGCTGATCTCCATTTGAAGCAAGGAACTACAGAGCATTTGTTCAATATGTATTTTAAAATCCAAAGACCAAAAATCTTAAGCCTCAAAATGTCAGTCATCATTTTTTAAAAAATTCAATTCACATATCTAGGAATCTATTTAATTGTTATGTAACAGGGATAACTTGAAGGCACTAATGGATTTGATGAGCAAAATATATATTTTCTTGACTATTGTAAAATTATTGTAATTTCAGCATAACATAATTGAAATTATGTTTTTAGAATGTAATTGCAGACTTAGAAATGTATGAATGCTTACTGGTAACAGCTACATGACGGTTTGTTTTCCCTTCATCAATGACATCCATAACTTCTTCAGGACTAGATACAAATCTCTCGGTGCAGCCCTAGAAATATGAAATTCAACATTTTTTTATGCAAAACATTGACTGGAAACAAACCTAAACCAGTAACTGTAGCTTCTCAAAAATCAGAGATAAAACTCAATTTATAAGCCTATATTAACAAAACTAAAAACTTCAGATAATAACCAAGAAGCAAATGCAGAAGTATATAAAATGACCATGTACAGTGTATGGCCAATACCTTCATTGGTCATAATTAACCTATAACCAAATCTGAAAAATCTACATGATTGCTCACATAGATTTGGGAAGGCAGGGACCCCGATAAAAAAATCCTAGCTGTGTGGATAACTGATTCTGCATCCAAGGATTCTTCTGCAGACCTATCTTACAGCATAGTTTAGGCTCTCAGCATTCAAGAGAATGAATACCATTTCATCATGTGATTGGGAACCTTTTTTAAATATCTAATTTATACGTAGACCGTTCATCTCTAGTTTGCTTTGGGTATTTATGCATGGTTCCAAAATATGTTGAAGCTTATAGTAATAATAAACAGGAAAAAAATTCCTATAATTTGCATCCATATTCATTATGGCTTAGGACCTGGTTATCTACGGGACCGCCTGCTACCACCAATAGCCTCCCACCGGCCAGTACGCTCCCATAGAGAGGGGCTCCTCCGGGTGCCGTCGGCCAAACAATGTCGGCTGGCGGCCCCCAGGGGGAGAGCCTTCTCTGTGGGGGCACCTACGATCTGGAACGAGTTCCCCCCGGAGATACGGAGGATCCTGGATCTTCGCACCTTCCGTCGCGCGCTTAAAACGTTTTTATTTCATCAAGCTGGCCTGGCCTAAATCATCTCCTCTTTTAAATTTAAATTTTAAACATAAATTTTTAATCTGTTTAATTATGGGGTATTTTAAAATTCAGCCTAAATTATTTAATCTGTTTTAATTTATTTTAGATTTTGTATTTCCTGTGTTTTATCTTCTGGCTGTTCACCGCCCTGAGTCCTTCGGGAGAAGGGCGGTATAGAAATTTAATAAAATAAATAAATAAAATAAATAAAATTATGCATTAATGGAACTGATTAATTTCAAAGGAATAATTAACAAAAAATTTCATTATTAAAAATGAAGTTTTGGATAAAGGAAGTATTATGTACATAATTTTGATGAGAATATTATGGACAAAAAATAAAAAAAATCTCTCACGCATTTAGTAAAAAATGAATACAGGTATTCCCTCCATAAATGCATCAAGATTGGATTGACTTGGAGGATTTTCAATACCATTCATATGTAGATTTTTCCTCCAGAACTGTAATTCTAAAGCAGGGGTCAGCAACCTGTGGCTCTGGAGCCGCATGTGGCTCTTTGTAACTCCCTGGCACTCAAAATGTGTGACACCCACCAGCACGCGATTTATTGAGCTTTTCAACCCCCGGTAGGCCAACAATGGATAAATCCAAGAAAAGAAAAGTTTCAGAAGAAAACAGAACATTTAATTCAACTATATATGCTAGTTTTGTGGCCGCTCAAGAAATAGTCAGGCACAGGAAGGATTTTGTGGCTCCCGGTGTTTTCTTTTCTGTGGGAAACAGGTCCAAATGGCTCTTTGAGTGTTTAAGGTTGCAAACCCCTGTTCTAAAGGAATTCATTTATCCAAAATGTGATTGGGTTCAGTCTCATGGGCTTGCAATCTATCTTCATATCTAAGCATATAATTTTGGTTGCATCTGTTTTAAATCACTCTTAAGCTTAGCCAGATCTTCTTAAAAATTAGGGAAAAGATGGTGACCTGGAAAAATTGGATGAAAGCAGGAATGCTGAATTTGGACCAATTGATAGATGATTGGGATGAATTTTTAGCATATGATACACTAAGAGGCAAATATGTATCAGATGTAACTTATGGAAATATTTACATTTGTTAACAACATCATTTGGACCAGCAGCATTCTTACCACACAGACAGAATGACTGCCTATTTTTTTTTTTAACTAAAAATCTCCTATTAGTTTCTAAAGTTATTTCTTATCTATAAATCAATTTGATAGGCACATGGGAAGAAATGAGTGGCATAAGGACTTAGAGATTTCTTTATTGCTAACGTAATAGTCTTCACTTCTATAGCAAGTGTGTCAATGAATCTTAAGTTACAATTTATAAAAACAAAATATTTAGAATCTACTGGATTCCATAATGTCCATATAAAAAAGGATTGACTATTATAGCATTTTTTTTGAAAATATAGGAAATACTTTTTTTTGAAACACATATTTTTACAATGTCCTATACTTACTATGTTTTGGGACAAAATAGTGAACTAATAGATATAGTTGTGTGATAAATGCTAAAATTTTCAAAAGACAATATTATTTTGAATTACATACATTGTACATGGAATTTGACCACTGGACAACAAAACTTAATTCTCCAGGCCCTTACTATAGGTGAAAGACTGATATAGCAACATACAAAAAATAAATGTATAACCCCATTTACACCATTCAATTGATTGAAAACTGATAACACTTTCTACCTATGAAGATTGCCAAATATTAAGCATAATAAAAAGTAAGGATAAGGAAATATGGAACATATTTATATAAAATATGATAGGCTAAAAAAGCATGATAATAACTATCATGCTTTTTTAGCCTATCATATTTTGTATAAATATGTTCCATATTTCCTTATCCTTACTGACAGACAGACGATAGATTCACAAAATGTTTGCATTAGGTAATTATATATATAGAATTGTAACTGTTTATTGTTGCAACAACACATGTAGTTTGGAAGGAAAGAAAGGAGGGAGGGAGGGAGGAGGGAGGAAGGAAGGAAGGAAGGAAGGAAGAAATTAAGAAAAAGAAAGAAAGAAAGAAAGAAAGAAAGAAAGAAAGAAAGAAAGAAAGAAAGAAAGAAGCTTTAATTATATCCAATAACTCTTTAAGTAATAATTTTGATGAAACAATTAAAGCAACCTGATTTGCTTCAATGAAGAAGTCAACAAGCTGAGCTAGGCTGAAAGGCTTAGGGCTGGGTGGCTTTAGAATCAGAAGGTGACTGGCATGAAAGCAGCTTTTCCACACTGATGGCTTTTCACAACCACTGACCTACTAGTGAGTTATTGTGACAGCCCAGCAATGTGAGAGGAGTTTTTCTGCACTGCTGGTCTCTTTTATCAATTGGTCAACAAAAGGGGAGAATGCCAGAAGCACAAAAGGGCAAGTCATATCACATCACTTGTCTTCTTTCAACTGCTTGCTAACACTTGGAGATAGTTCAACGTGGAGATACTCTGGGGTTTGGGATTGGCCATCTCCAGTGTGTGCAGTAGGATAATCCCTATCAGAGGTGACTAACCTAGAAATCCTCTTGGTAGAAGGATGGAAAAATACTTTCCCCTGCCTTTTTTCAAGCATGAGTTCTGCAGGAGAATGCTGAGAGGTCTACGAAGCAGACTCAGGAAGAAACATGACAAAGGCTTTTATAGAAATTCAATAAAGTGTATACAGAGGCAAAAAAAAAAATCTTCTGTAGAAATTCAATAAAATATGCACTGAAGAAATATGGCAAAGGAACCATGTTGCTTCAGGAAGCAGTTTCAAGGAAGTACTTCATTTGAAGATTTCATCAAAACGAAGACCCTTTGAAGCTACAATACAGAGTATTTGTTCATGGTCCATTAATACCACAGACAAACACCTGTTTAAACAAAAGAAATAATGGCATCTAGGAAGGAGGATTGTGGTTTGCAAAACAATGCAGGGCTGTAATATCTGTCCTTTCCTCCTATCCCAAGGTAGAAAGCAACAATCTTCATGCTGCTTTCAAAAATGGTCAGCAAGAAGATCAAAGAATCCTTGCTCTAATAAACTCATGGATAAATGGGATGCTAAAATAAACTAAGTAATTCCAAGGATTCTATAGCCTAACATCCTTTTCCCTTTACATTAATATAGCTAGTAAGAGCTTGAAAATCTAGCATGCTTTTGTGAGCTGTTAGAGGGATTAACAGAATTATTATTAAAGTACAGATTTTCCAGTTGATTAAAAACAAACTACTCCTTCCCTTCATCCAGAATCAGCATGACATATTGATGCAGTGTTAGAGACATTCAGAGAAATGGAAATATTCTACTAGTAAAAAATTATACTTAACCTTTAAGAGATAGACATCCCTAAACTTAATTAGCATTCTTTTTTATTTACACTATTTGTATAATACTGTGACTTCTGCTTTGGCAATTTTATCATGGAATTATTCATTTTATGGCTTTGACTTCTATTATTCAGGATCTATTCGACCTTGAGCATATTTTACAATTTATTTTCAATGACTATCTTGAGTTCTTAGTGTTAAGTCACCTTGGTTGTGTTTGCAGAAAGGCAACATACATATTTTAAAAAGAAAGTAAATGTGATCACAAACGAATTCAAAGAGCATTTGAATTAAATAATTAAAATGGTATTTTTTTTCCATTATAGGTAGAAGTGCTTTTACCTTGACATATGGTACTCTGTTTTTGTCTTCATGTACTGCAAGGTTGGTTTTTGAAACTGTAAGAAACATAAAGGACCATCAATTAATGATATATATAAATTGGAAGACTGGCAAGAAAGTCTGAATGAATTTCCACACAAAAAAAAATCAGTGATAGAGTTTTCACCAAATGGGCTTACCCTATTCGTTGGTTTAGGTACAAAATAACAACTGGAATGATTTAATAAGTAACGTTTTGCATATTCTCAATCAGGAACATGAAATACAAACAAATAAGTTAAGTGTAAAATGTCCACAAATTTTATTTGTTATGACCCATATAGAATTGCATATGGACCATTTCCACTAGAGATTGGAATCATCCGGGATACTATATATAGCAGTGAGGGCTAACCTTTTCTGGACCAAGTGCCCAAAGTGCACATGCCTGAACCCCCAAAATGCAATGTGCGTGTGGCCCCCGCGCATGGGCCCTGCCCGCCCGTGTGCCCCCCTGCAAGCATGTGTGGCCCCCTGCATGTGCCCCACCCCCGCATGCGCACATGCCCCCTGCATGCATACCGCCCCCGAGCATGAGCAGCAGAGACCTGAAAATCAGCTGGCCGGTGGGAGGCACGCGCGCATGTGTGCCATAGGTTCGCCATCACGGATATATAGGGTTACAGCACAGGCACTGTGCAAATAAAGCTAATGTTGTGGTCTTTTTTTGGATTAAGGGTGCCTATTAAAATCTATTCAGATGTTTCATTCTCAGTCTAAACATCTCCACTTGTATGTCTGTCCTCTGAGAAATCTTCCAATATGTTAAACCAAAGTTTGCTATATCAGGCAAATAGAAAATATGGATGAAATAATGATTTCTAGAAAATAGCTAAGGTTTTTCAAATGGATGTCCTGGGAAACTATCTTTTTTTAAAAAAAAATCCATAAAGCAGAATGCAAAACTGGAAATTGAAAGAACAGAGAAACACAGCATTTTGCTATTCATGTCTGAGATTAGGAATCTTGAACAAAGAATTGGGATTTAAAATAGGAGGGAAAACAGATTTCTTCAACTATGCCATTTCTTTTAAATGGCTACTACAACTCCTGGATGATAATTATATAAAGTTATAAAATGCTTCTGAAAGTGATCCATTTAAAGCAAAATGATTACAGAGATCACTCTCAATAGTAAAGTAGAAATATATAGAAAAGAAAAGTTTAAAGATCCTAGTTTCCACTGCAAAAAACTGCAAAACTGGAATCTAGCTGAACCTTTCTGACAAAGTAGCCCAAAACTGACTATTTGTTAAATAGAGATATTTATTATTAAATAGGAATATGACACATGTTAAGGATTTCATTAAGGTTGGTAACTTTGTCCACATATTCTCTATCTTACAAAAAAATGACGTCATTTTTTTGTCAAACAATGTCAAACAATGGGGCAGAGGTCAATATCTATTGATCTATTGGGGGACAAATAGCGCATATGGAAGATTGCAATTTGGAGGGGGTCTTCTAATAAGGGACTTCATAATCAAGCTTGATCATTGATCATCTCCCTCCATTGGAACAGATAATTCCCCTGATATTCAGACTATCTGGTGCACTGTAAATTACTCAATCTGCAAAAATGTATGGAAGGAAGTAAATATATGCACGAATGCTTGTTAAAAGAAGCCTTTGTTAAAAATGTTTTGAAGGAAATGAATCACAGATATAAAATTGTACAATTAAGAGAAAGTGAAAGGACATAATAGCCTTGTATAAAACTAATCTGAGCTTGTGATGTGGATTTGATAAAACACGGAAGTGGAGATCTAAGTTTAATTATGAATGAGAAGGCTAAAATATGTGATAGATAGAAAATAAGAATTGTTGACATCCACTGTGGATGTCAGTAGAAATCCATGGATTGAGATATTTCTCCATCACCAAAGTGTTTATTCAGATGGTTCTCCCAATCATGTGTGATATTTGCTTTTTAAATTATTTGTTGTGTTTTTATTTGTTCTCATGGATCCAAATAATTTTTAAAGGGCACTTGGGGAATTTCACAGCTTTCTGGCAGGCAACAGGGTGCTAAACACTATTTTCCTGTGTCTAGGCTGTCTCCTGTCAAACCAGAGCTTTGTTTTGTTTTGTTTTTTCCTTTATTATATTCTATGGAAGCTTCTAAGATTCATAAATTATACGTAAATAAAAACTAATAAGTAAATAAATGCATGTAATACTCCAGGAAATTATAATGGAAGAATCAAATATGAATGTGTAGGAAAACACTACTACACTCTGAATAAAAATGATCAATAGGAAGAAGTTATTCTGCTAGATGACATGAATGGATGTGTGAGAAGGAGATAAGACAGTACATTCTTGGACCATTTGGAGATTGGGATTATTGGTGACTAAAAATGGCTCATCTCTTTCAAATACATGATTCAAACATAAGTCTATTTATACGTATATGAAGGATAAAAACATAACAGACAGATTTTAGATAGACAGACAGATATTGTTTTTGTTGATTATCATGAATGATTGAGATAATTAGTGAAATTACAAGTTGATCACAAATTCTGAATTTGAGGTAGACAATTTTTGGTGGCACTGAGTGATCTTAGGGAATGTGAACAGAAAAGAAAACAAAAGTAGAGTGACAGCAGGAACAGAAAGGGTTTAGAAAAAGAAGGAATATTGAAACTGCTTCAAGTAGAATAGAATTAATTACAGAGTATTGCAAAAGCCTCTGGAATTACACCAAAGGGAAGTATGAAAAGGATGACTGGGAGAATGCCAGAATGACAAACACTAAGGATGAGAAAAATATCCTTGAGAATGACTCCTGCAAAAGAACCAGACAGACATGGAAGTTAACACCTGCATTTGACAAGGGAAAGAATGTTATTTCTCCTTAACATTAAAGAGGGAAGATAGAATCTTAGGAGAATAATTAGATTGGATGAACATAGCACAGAATTCCCAATGAAAAGTTCAAGAGGTAAATGAGCAAAACTTGGGATGTGTAATAGATCTCTATCACATATTGTTCTTTTTTAGCCAAGTCATTGAGATATGTATGTGGGGGGTGGGGAATCATTGTATATTTATTGGTTTGAGAAAGTATGATAAAGTGCTTACAGGAGAAGAATTATGGAGAAGGAGAAGGACTCGTGATCTGCCCTTTGTTTAAGGAATACATGCATAAGGAAGCTCATGGGATGTTAGTTGACTGAGGATATGAATATACCCTACATGTAATTTTGTATTAATTATAAGATTAAGGATTGGATATTAATTCTAGATACAAATGTTATCCATCTCTTTTTCTTTGTTTCTAAGAATTCTTTCTTTTTCAGTTATAGATTCTGGTCCCAATGAAGGACATAAGCATCCAAGCAACCCAGATTCGACCGGAAGTGTTGCAGCAAGACAGTCGGGAATTAGCAGGCTCCGATGAGCCTTGCGAAATTCCAGGCTGACAAACCGCTGTCGGTGGGTCTTCAGACCAGATCTGTCCTGTAGGGACGGAGAAGAAGGAGGGGCACCTCAGAAGCCCAAGAGGAACAGGAAACTTCCTTGGAGGTCGGAGGAAACTCTTCAACTTGGTGGGGGCAGCGGCCATAGTGGCTGTCATAAAGCTGGGGCAACTGGACTAAGTTTTGAGCAGGAGCGGTGATTTGGACGGAGTACTGGTAACCGGGTGAGTGATTGCCAGCTCACAGGTAAATAGAAATATTTTTAAATTGTTAAAAGGTGCCCCAGCGAAGAAACAGCAGCTAATGGGCATGGGGGACTTTTAATGGAGAGAGAAAAACAAGGCAGAAGTTTAAAGTGTTAAAGCTCGAAACAGAACTTGATTTTTGGATTAGAATTTGAGTGGAGATAATTAAACTGTTAGAAGAAGAAACCTGAAATAGCTGTGAAGAGGACTGGAAATAAATAATAAATAATAAAATAATAAATAATAAAAACTTTGACCATTGAAGGAAGAACAAAGAAAAACTTAAAAATAAAGCTCTGTAACAGAAGTCTTTTAATTGGATTTGGAATTGGATTTTAAATTGGATTTTGGGGAATACAAAATTAAGAAGATGGAAATTGGCAAATATTGGCAATGTGGATTTAATAAATAAAATGGATATTTTCTTAGTTTGTTGATTGGAATTGTGGATTGGAGAGAGACATCTACAGGCGGAAAAAACTATTACAATGGTTAACTTTGTATTTTGGAAAAAAAATTCTTAAAGTGATAAGAGCAGTGGGAACTTTTGAGGAGGATTTGTTTTCTTTTAAACTGTTTGATCTCAATAACCAAAGAAGGTGGATTATAATAAAACTTAGAATTGAAACAACGACAATCCAGAAACAACAAAATGGCGCAGGAATTAATTGAAATGATTAAAATAATGCGTATATCATTCAAATTGGAATTAAATGAAATGATTATAATGATGCATGGAAAATCTAAGCCTGAAGAACTAGAGACTTAGAACATACCCAAGTGGATTAGGAAACTATGAATGAGAAGCAAGAAATTAATACTGAAGATAAAGACATCGATTATGAAAAATTAAATTATCATGTTGGGAGTAACAATGAAAAAAAGAGAGGCGTTAAGTGAAAATTAACTGGAAAAAGGAAACAAATAAAGGGAAGAAAAGGAAAGGGGAAAAGATTAGGAACAAAGGTGAACTTTAAAGATTACATTGGGATTAATATGACAAAAATAGAGAGGGTGGAAAGAGACAAGGAGAGAAAGAAGAGGGAAAGAGACAAAACACAAAAAATGTAAATGATTACACTGGGATCAACAATGGAAAAATAAGAAGGGAAAGGGGGAAAAAGGAAGAGAGCAGATGGAAATACAGGGCAAATTAGGAGAGTAAGGGAATCTAAAACTAGGGGGGAAAGGGAAAAAGAAGAAAATAAGAGAATGGGAGAAAGGAGAAAAGGAGTAGTTAATGGAAAGGAATGTTTTATATTTAGAACTATAAATGAATTGTAGTAAGTTTAATATATGTGATTGTAATACTTGGAAGGTCTTTAATTGTAATAATGGAAATCAGCTTCAAAATCATTTGAAATTATATTGTATTGTGAAAAGGGATTAATGGATTATTAAATAAGAGGTGATGGGAAAGGGAAAAGATGAAAATTGACTTTGTTTACTGTTTAACATGAAGAGATTAAGACACTGAGCAATAATTGAAATTAACTGTTAAGAGGGGGAAATATTATTGATTATGATTATGTTATTATGAAGAGGTGTAGATAGTATATATATATATTTGAAAAAGCAATGGAAAATTGGGTTTATTTTAAAAAACAATTGGAATTGAGAAATAGAAATGAATGACTTTAATGCTATATACTTAAGTGAATATATATGAATATATATAGTAATATATATGATTGTAGTATTTGGATAAGCTGATAAAGAAATGGAAACGAGGGAAGGAAATGGGAAGAAAATGGGTTATATATGTAAATTATATGAATACTAATATCTGTAATTGAAATAATGGAATCTAGGGAAAATGTTTGAAACTATATTATGTTGTGAAAAGGGAGCAATGGGAAAATATTTGAATAAGATGATTTAGACTTAGGGTTAGGTTTTAGAAAAATGATTGACTCTAAATTAAAGGCAATTTGGAAAAAAGTAATGAGAGGTGGGGGAAAAGAAAAATTAACCAAGATTAGAGATTAGGGCGAATGGTAATATTGATTATATATCAGAAGAAATAGAAGGAAAATAAAATAAAAAATTAGAGAGAAAGAATATTATGGCAAAAAGTGAAATATATAAATTGTGTTGGAGAAAATTAAAAGCTGTACAAATTTTGACTTGGCGAATACTCTGTTCAGAAAAAATGTATTGTTTGTTTGTGTGTGTGTGTGTGTTTGTTTTGAAAAAAATCGAAAACAATTTCTAAAAAAAAAGCATCCAAGCAATCTCATTTTCTGGATTCTGACAGACCATTTTAAGAAGGGTCTCCAGACTTTATTCATTATAAAATGTTCAGTATGGGAGAAATTACAATTTTTGTGTGAATATACAAGGGTTATGGTTTAATACAGGATTAAGTACTGATTTTAGAAAACAAAACAAAGTAAACTATCAGACAACTTAATGGATGCATTAAAAATAATAATACAATCCTGCTTTACTTACCATCTAATAAATCCCTTATTTTGTCCAAGTAAATCTCAAAATAGGAAACCTAATTAAGAAAGCATACAAATATTACACATACATTTGAAAAAGAAAGAGAAAAACTATCAAATACAGTAGACTCTTAAAGTTATTTGCAAACATAAGTGAAACTGCTATTTACTCAGCGGTTTCACTCAAACTAAGAGAAAACATTGAGGAAATATTTGTACTGATTGCTTCTGGGCATTAGTGTCTATGGAGATTCTCAGTCATCCAGGTCATGTCTATCCCAAAGGTGCTTTTTCAAGAGGCAACTGGACTTTCTGGTTTTTCTTTGAAGATGTTTCACTTCTCATCCAAGAAGCTTCTTGGCATTAGGATATGCCATCTCCATAGACCAAAAGGTTTCTTTAATGGGCCAGAATAAAAGAGACACCATCTTATGTCCTGCTTTCCATCTCTTTTCTTCTGCTGTTATGGACATTAAAAGATTAAGGCTGTAAAGCCACTATCCATGCTGATTAATCACAGAACTCTTTCCAGTAGCTCTGGAAAATTTGGTGTCCTTTGGACTTAGCTTGATATAATAGTTTTATAGTTAGTATAAAATCTGCTTTTGCTTGCCTATTTACCTACTTTTACCAGTACAATCATCAAGCCAAAATGAATGGTGAATATATTTACTGTGACCAGGATATAAGGATTGAGTGGAAGTTCCAAATTCATGAAAAGCTAAAAAAATGGAACTGTTCCCCAACCCCAAGAGCCGATATAATCAGTGGAACTTTGTTTGGGAGTCACCCAGAGCTGGTTAAAAGATTGGTGGCTATATAAAAGTTTTAAATAAATAAAATAAAATGGAACTCTAAAGGTAAGAGAAGGATTGAATTTGACACACAACACTATCAATACTCCTTCACTGGTTCCATTGTGAAAGATAGGAGCTGATCTATTCACAAACAGCAGATTTGTATCATGATACGTTTTTGCATATGTTCCAACTAAGATTGGATATACTCATTACATTTTGATCTGAATTTGATTAAGAGTAAAATTGAAATGGGAAGGTTTTTTTTAAAAGCATTATCCTAGTTGGTTACATAAAGAATTTAATAAATTATTTGTAGCATTGCTAAAGTTTTCTTCTCCTTTTAAAATAATAGCTTCAATGGGGTGTGTAGGTACTGTAGGTAGTGGAAAAGAGTTATGAGATAAAATTAAAGCTTCAGAAAGGAGTAGCTGGTGAAATTATTACTTTTAAAGGAGATTGCACATCTTAATGGGATTGACTTGGTAAGAGTTCAAACCATACATTTTATTTATTTATCTATCTATCCAATTTTTATAACTGCCCATCTCACCAAAAGCAACTCTGGGCGGCACCCAACAATATGCAAGCTAAATGCATCATTAAATACATATTCCTCTTATAAAATTCACTACATAGAAGAGGGGATAAAAGGCATAATAAGACCTCATACTTTCCCTTGTCAATGAGCAAGCAAGGATATGTATAGTCTATGGAGATTATTTGGAGCTATATTGCATACCCAATGGGTGGCAAATATAGCAAAGGCTGACCGCACAAGTACTTTTTTTAATGCGCTTGGGAAAAAATCACATCCCATATATTCCTTTACATTATTCATGTGTCAAAAGGTACATGATGTTCTACCAGAAGAAAAATGTTAATTGTCCTAAGACTGGATCAATATCTATTGGGACTTCACCATATTAAATAGTTCCTTCTGCTGTAGGACTCAGGGCTACAGTATAAAAAGACACAGGAGTGCAATGGGTGTTTTTAAACATGTACTATGTTCCCCATAGTTCAACAGCAAATACCCCAATGTAACTGGAGTTAGGAACAATCAAGATGGAAGACCTGAGCCACAGCGCCTGTTAACTTTCAGCTGTAAGAACATGTGGGATCAAGAGAGGATTATCAAATGAAAGAATTCTAAGAAGATGGCAATTAAAGGCTAGGTAGTTGTGAGGAGAGCAGTAAAAGGGGGTCTAGGACAAATCGCCCCAGCCAACTTGCTGTGGCCAACTCACTACGGCCAACTCACCATGGGACAATTCACCACGGCCAACTTGCCACAGGACAAAAGTTACATAATATTGAAGAAATGGTGAAATAGAATCATTAAAGAAAGGATACAAAAGGAATAACAAAATGAAATGTAAATGACAAATATTAAAATATTTTTTAAATTATTTTAAATAATTAAATAAAATAGTTGAATTGTATTGCGGCGAGTTGTTCTGCAGCAAACTGTCCACAGCAAATTGTCCAATGGCAAGTTGGCCACAGTGAGTTGACCATAGCAAATTGGCAGTAGTGAATTGGCCATGGCAAGTTGTCCCATTCTGGTAAGAGGAGGATCAACCATGAGAAACGGCATAGTGTCCCACAACAATAACATTTAGAATACTACAAAATGAGATAATGAGATATAATTCAATATTTCAATATAGAAAGATCTGCAAGAGTGAAAGAGCAAAAAAAGGGGGGGAAATGTACCCCAAAATTGGAAATAAAGCATTATTTTTATATTTCAAAGAAGGCTGGATAAAAAAGTATTTATCCATAATAAATACTTTGGAAGAAATATTTAAGTGGTCTTCCAAAATGCAACATGCAAGCTCAATAAAACAACCCAACATACTAAAAATTAATCCCCCAGCAAATAAAAATAGTCAATCTTCCAAAAACAATCCTTCCAAACAAAGACTGTGCGACTGCATTGAGAATTCCTGCCAAAGATCACAACTGTCATTTAAAATCTTCTTTCCAACTTAGAAAATGTAATTTGCAACCAGTACAAAGCAAACTGCGAAAGATTTTGCAGAGTGAAGGAGGAATTATATAAGAATCTCGCTCATTATTCCATAGTTTCTTGAAAATAAATTTATTGTGTTTAGTGAGGCTTACTCATAAGTAAACATGCACATAATTGTACTTTGAGTGTCTGGCTCAGTTGCATTTATTTAAAAAACAAAATGGAATGAGTCAAATGCTCATAAATTTTATCAGATCAAGGAAAAAAACTGTTGGCATAAGACTGGAAAGCAATCTCACTGCATTCTTTAAAAACATTTTCTGTATGAGCATGAATAATTATTGATTCCTAATCTAACTTGGAATTTCTCCAAAGTGCTTGCATTTTTAAGTTTGCTTATAAGTCTAGTATCATCACTTTTACTTCACTTCTGGGTTTCTGCCAATGGTGTATTGCCATCAGGACTTCATAACTAGCAACCTAATGTAATCATTTTGTCTAAAACATCCATCCCTTTCCTCCAGCATGAAACTATGTGAATAGCATACGTTTTTCTACATATATAATACTCCAATTTTTTGACAACTATATGGACAAAATACTAATTTAGTGTTCAAGTGTTGATATCAATATGGCAACCCCATAGCTTTTCTAAGAGAGCATTCACACCACAGATTCTGATTTAATTAAGGTTTCTTTTTCAGGTAATTAAGAAAGAGCTGGTGTGTTTTTTAAAAGTATGATCTCTCTCTTATGAGTATTTTAAGAAATACATATCAGTATGCATGTATAAGAATGACAATAAATCATACTTTAAGAAAACTGAATTTAGAGTTTTCTCAAAATTTTAAGTCCATCATTTTTAAAAGTTATTGTTTAAAAAATTGAGAGAAAAAATCTGTCACTTATGTTTGAGAAAAAGAGGAATATAAGATGATGCTTGGGCAATAGAAATCAAACCACACACACACACAAAAATAGAAGGAATTTTTAATTTTTGACATAACAGAATATTGTCTGTGTGTGTATATTTCACATACAACTTGAAATTAGATTTTTTGCCTTTCCCATTTTTTAATTATATAAGGATATCAATGTGTCTGAATAAGTTCTTATTCATTTATTTAAAGAGCAATGTTTCAACAGTGACTTTTTATCCAGAAAAGCATACATTGCATAAACATTTGTTTCAGAGCCAAAGCATCTTTGTTTTCAAATGACACTTCTCTTGTATATTCAGATTGCCAGGTTATTGACTAACGTTCATTTATATATGCTGTCCCAGCAATATGAAACTAAGTCAATTTTATTATATGACCTCACTTAGGATAAATTTAAGATCTGATTAGAAAGCCTAATCAGAGAGCCTAATTAGAAATACATTTCTATTCTTTTTGTATTTAAGAGAATAAAACATAGTCTAGTATTTTGTTTAACATCCAGAGAGTTTAAAAAAGGTTATTGTATATAAAACATTATTAGTGTTGACTAATAATGACTAGCTTACAAAAAGTTTTGTTTCTTTAGATCCAAAATCTAGTGGCACGAATCCATCAAGGACTATTTATATAACTAAATCTCTGTTATACTAATGAAAATCATAAATAGGATCAGCTATGAGGTGGCTTTTTTATAGGCTTGTTAAGAATAAATTATGCTGCACTGGAGAGCCAATGGTGTAAAAGATATTTAATAACTGCAAATATCTTTTACACCATTGGCTCTCCAGTGTGGCATAATTTATTCTTAACAATCAGAATCATGCAAACAACAATTAGCAATAGCAATAACACTTAGACTTATAAGGATGGAAAGCTGACTCAACCTTGAGCCTCTGAGGATCAAACTCCTGGCCATGAGCAGTGAGTTAGTTAATACTGCATTCTAACCACTGTGCCACTACAGCTTATACAAAAGGCTGCTTCAATTTAAAACCAATGGCCTGTTAGATTACTTATCTAAACACAATTTAAATTGAGTTGCTAGAGGCATTATGTCCACAGATTGCACTGATTGAGGTTTGTTTGTTTTTTATCTCACTACTTGGTTTAAATTTTTTAGTGTTACATTTGAGGAAATTAATCACTCAATATCCATTTTTGGTACCAACATGCAGATTCAAAAAGTCATTCTCCAAAAAATGGATGGATGGGAAGGCAGAAACTTTTCTTAGCAACTATGTGGTGAGAAATCATAAATCCAAATTTATTCTCCGAGGAACAAAAATGTATAACTATGGAGGATAGGAAATGTCAAGGAAAGAGGATACCACATTCAAAGTGGGTCTCCCCCCCCCCCCAGTTTGATCATTATTTGATGTTACCTTTATATGGAATTCTAGATTTTCATCCATGGAATAAATGTGATCAAAGATGTCATGTGCAATTCTTGGAATTATTCCCATCAACTGCGGGTCATGCAGTTTCCCCTAAAAGTGCAAAAAGAAAACGAAGTTAATCATATCATGTTCTGGAAATTAGAGAGCAAATAGTCCTCAACCTACAACAGTTCATTCAGTGTCTATTTGCAGTTATAACGTCACTGAAAAAAAGTGACTTAGCAGCATTTTTCATATTTATGACCATTACGGCATCCCCATGGTCATATGATCAAAATTCAGCCTGGCAACTGACTCATATTTATGATGATTGCAGTGTCCCAAGATCATGTGATCACCTTTTGTGACAATTCAATGAGGAAACCAGATTCATTTTACAACCGTGTTACTAGCTTAACAGCTGCAGTGATTCACTTAACAACTGTGGCAAGAAAGGTCATAAAATAGGGCAAAACTCACTTAACAAATTTCTCACTTAGCAACAGAAAGTTTGGGCTCAGTTGTGGCCATTAAGCTGAGGACTATCTGTATTCATTTGCTACTTAGCCAAGGAAAACCATAAATAAGATGGCTAATTTATATTGATGTTAATATACTAGTATTAAACAGTGCCACAGAATTTCTACGAAGGAGCCCGATATCAATCTACAATTCACCTCCAGCTCTAGCAAAGCCAAAACCAAATTGTTATTTTTAACATAGAGTAATAATGTCAACCATGCTATTAAAAACAAATAAAAGGGAGACTTCCATGTTAAATACTAAAACTGAATTACCAACTAGTAAGAAATTAATGAGAAATGGAAGAAGGGAAAATGGAAGTGTAATAAATCTACTGATTGTTTTGGTCAGGGATAATGCCAGTAAGCGTCTGCCTCACTAGCAATAAAGCCTGCACAATCAGCTTCCTTTGCTTTACTTTAGATCTTTAAAGAAAAAAAGATAAAAATATTTTTCCTGACTGCATGCCTTTTTTCATTTTTCCTCAGAAGTAGAAATTAGCCAGGGCTATGATAATGAAACTGTGCTTGGCATCAATAACAGAGTATAACAAAAGCATGTAATATGAAAATAAAAAAATGGAAAATGTGGTTTCTTTTCTTACACCTCATGATTTTAAGATCATGGTCATTCTGGCTGAAATACTGGGCTCTTAATCTGAATATGTCATCCAGGGATACAGGTAGATAAACAGAATTATTTCAAGAACAAAGGACATCATACACATCCTCCCTGCAAAATAAAAAATGCTGCAAACATCTGAACCTAATATTTTTCATTACATATATGGAATTTAAAACTGGAAAGATGTAAAAATCCATTGATTATTATTCTGCAGATCTGGGGAAAGATATTCACACATGTTCTGGCAGCACAGAGACCCAAATACTTTGCATAAGTGTGCTTAGTAATAAAGAATATAAGAGAAATTGAATGGAGACAAATTGCGGGATATAATCATTTCAGGGTATAAAGTGCATAAGACTCAGAGGATTAATGTCAGATTTCAAAAGAAGCAGATTGATGCAAACCAATTTTCAGAAATTCCTCTCTCAATTGCTCACATTATAGTCCGATGTGAGGAATTCAATATACATTTATTCGGTTTCAAAACATAAAATTGATTGAACTATTTTCTGACATGGAGGTCAGAGGAGCTGGGGTGAAAATCATGGTAAGAAATGAAATATCTGGCTAACCTGCAATTTCATGAAATTCTAAGGTGGCACTAGTTTTCCACTGTAAAAAAATAAGCTTTTTTATTATAACCTGTGAACAATAGAACCTATTGCTTTTCATGTGCACAGAGATTTCCAAAAATTTTGCCTAAGATTCAAAATTACATTCAAACTGAATTACCTTTTGTTAAACCTAATTATTCAGCTTGCATATGTTAAAATAAAAATGGAAGTATAGCAGGGTAATTTTATATCATATGTTTAAGTGCCTCCTTTCTTATTTTATAGTTCCAGAATAATGAACCTGACAACTCTATTAAAATATTATCTAAGATAGTGCAAAAACATTAAAAAATGTTGTTAGTCACATTTTGAGAGTTTAAGATATATATTTAATCTTCTTTAAGAGCTTAACCATTGATTTGTTAATATGGGATAACCCTTTTTTTATTCAGAAGTTATTGCAAATAATTGATATCCACCCTGACAACATAATGTATAATTGGTTATTTAAAAAGTTGTAGATTTAGAATTATTCAGAACACAATTTAACACCGACTGTAATCTAGGAGTTTTAGATGCTAGTGTACCTGCATCAAATTGTAAATCAAAATATGTTTTAATTGGAAATTCTTTCTGCAGTTTTAGAGAATCCAGATTCCTTTTCCCATGGTTTAAACAATGTAAAAACCTCTCTGACAGTGACTTGATCTAAAACATCAATATTCTTAATAGCTATTCAGGTTTACAGCATTTATAACACTGTCTCACTTTTTATAAAGTACAAACCTGTAGATCACTAGTAAGACTTACTGTAAATTAAAGGCCAGTTCAAGGAGGACAAAGCATTAAATCAGCTTGGGCTAATTGTAGGGGTGACAACTTATGAATATGTTCTTTTGCTTTCTTTGTATTTTCTTGTACACTTGTATCGCTTTTATAATTTTGATATGGTCATGTGACTAAATCAGTAAAGTTTCCATTCTACTAACCTATAGCATGCATATATTTCAATTTGTAACCCTCCATTTATATATTTATTAGAAAACATTTTTAAAATGATTATTCTATAAAAGAAGGTTAACCTGGAATATGAATTCCAAAGTATTTAAAATTATTCAAGCACCAAAGAAGCTATCAAATAGGTCTCTGTGGGACTCTATGTTATAACTAGGTATATTTGGAATACTGAAAAACATGCAGAGCTGGTAAAGATGAGAGACTCCTCGGTTTAGATAATCAAAGGGCAGAAGTTACACCATCCAGAACAGGTTAACCTCTAAGCTGAACATGACTGAGCAAGCCAGTCAAGCAGTACTGATAATTATAAATGTATTTGGGGAGGTAAAATTAAGAATGGAATTAGGTGAACTCCAATTTTCTTATTCTCTAGATTAACTGTAGAATGGCTGCTGCCATCAAAAATGCATCGAGTTATTATTTTGAACTACTTTTGAGACTTTTTTTGATCCAATTCATTGCTTTACATGGAGAAGCCTGCCAATACCTGAGCAGTATAATATTCCTAGCTCCTTACACCATTTCACAAAAAAATCTAGCACACCAATCCCTTTCATAGTTCTCATCTGCAGCTCTTTTTTGCTCTGAGGTCAAGGAATTTTAACCTAAACAATTAAGAAAATAAAATATGGAATATGGAATAGCTGTCTCACGCTTGGCATTGTCCTCTAAATTATCTGAACTCTCTCTGCAAGTAACACATGGGAAGCAAACATTTTTAAATAAAAGGATATTCCAGTAATAGACAGCATTCCTCTAACAAGATATAGGACTGCGATGACACTAGATATAACACTGCAATAAATATTTTGTTAGGAAGAAATGATCTAACTACTATTTATTAAGTGTGTTAAGACTAAATGACTCATTGTTGATTATATCCATTTGAGAATTTCTAAAAAGGGCCCAATTTAGAATAGGAGTGCATAATTTAAAACGAAAGTCATTTTATAATACTTCAACCTTCAGAGGCAGGAAAATGCAGATTGTCAGATTTACTTTTATGTTATTATAGTATTTTTGGAGGACGTGGCAAACAAAATCCCCATATGCTATTTATTGCTTGAAAGTCTTGAAGGATTAACATTTGAAATATGAAGTCTTTCATAATAAAGGTTTTAACTTGAGGAATTAATAATTCCCCATCCTTATAGAAACTTCCCCCCTGAAAAGGATGCTTTACATTACATAAAAAGGATTGAATTAAAAGGGGGATTTAAAAGCATCTACCATACGATAGATTTAAATCCTTGTAATGAGTCACATATAAAAAGAGACTGATGAGGTCTTTCTCCTTTTTTCCTTATTGCAATCTGAGGATGTAACTGCTGACGTGAATTTGGCAGATTTATTTGTCATTTCCCTATAGAGAATTTTGTCTGATGCTACTTCCAAATCTGTTCTCTGAATGGTAACAAGGAAAGGTGTTAAGTAAGAAATGTAGATATTCTATTGAGGAAATCAATTGCTTTATTAAAAAGAACCCCAAAGGATTAATTTCCCTTTTATGGCAGGCAGAAGGTCTATTTATTCATGCGACTTTATTTCACCCATTTTCACATAATTAGAGGGAATGCTTCTTTCTTAACGATGTAAAATATAAACAAATCACCAAAACATAGTTTTAAAACAGGTAGGTAAAGTTGTAGCCCCAGGACTACAGGAAACTCACTCACATCCTAAAATGGTGCAATTTGGTGGCAAAATGGCCCTTTTGGGGCAGCACAGAAGCAGAGGTAACATTTCCTGGAAATCCAGAAAAAAAACACAACCACCCCACTATAATCCAATTATTTTGATACTGAAAGACTGCTGCCTAATTTCAGTCGTTTTGGTGGGGATAAAGGTGAGCATAGAATTTTTTTGTCTCTTGGGGCCTCCTACCTTTACTTTCTCCCTTTACACCTCCTAAAACTGTGTAAAAAACACTGCAAATTCTACCCATCCTTCTGACGATATTACTGTTGTGGTCCGCTAGCAGCCTGCAGAGCTGGCAGCAGAGTCGGACAGTGAAGAGGCTGGGGAGGAACATGGGCCAGTCCTGGAATCTGGGGAAGGCTCGGACGAGGGCTCTGCATCAGCGGCAGAGATGGCGCCAGGGCCATCTGGGAGTTATGTGCAGACTCTGGAGCCCCCAGAGTCAGACATCAGAGAGGCAGAGGAACAGGGGGAGCCTGTTCCTAGTGCACACATGTGCAGAGCTGCCAGAAGGCAAGAACAGTTAAAACAAAAGGGATGACTCGGGAGTAAGGCTTGGAGATGATTGGCCCCTCCCATAAGACATAAAGGAAGAGCAAAGGCCTTTGCAGGAAGCAACATTATGGATGGTGTCGGTTTGTACTTTGAAGCTCCATTTTTGACTCTGTGTTTCCGTGTGGCCTTGCCAAGATAATTGCCAATTAGGTCTTTCGCAGTGTGTCAAAGAAGATAAAGGAAGCCTAGGTCAGAACAATTACCATGGCCTCCTGTAGTTATCCAGGTGGTTAGGAGACAGGTTTGCTGCCTGGCAACTTTGGAAAATCCTTACTTCTACCCACATCTCAATTTGGAAGAGATTTGATATCTAGGACATTCCATTTTATGTAGTTCATAGAAAACCAAATCAGTGCATCTATTGCATCTCTTTAAAGTAACTGCATCTTTTCCCGGAAAAAGCACAAGGGCAATGAAAAGCAGCTTTAAATTTTAAATCGACTTTAAATTTTTACCTCCATAGTATGTGTTTTTCCTGAAGACGTTTGACCATATGCAAAAATAGTTCCATTGTAGCCTTCAAGAACATCTGTATTAAAAACACACAATAAAATATCTTATTACGAAGTACTACAAATCATCAAAAGAAAAAAAAAGGCATTATATGTATTAGTCGTTATTTAATAAGAGAAGAGGAAAGGATTAAGAAAACAGTTACAGACATCTAATGGAAAGTTATCCTGTTGCCAAGGAAGGTAAACACAAATAAATATTTCTCAATGTCCAGATCTAATATAGTCAGTAACATCCGTTATGCTTTTCTAAATAACAATCCTTTCAAAATTGTCCAGATTTCACCTTTATTTACAGAACTTTTCTCCATTTTCTCCAGGATTTCTGTACATATTTTAATTTCTTTGTTTATTGGAAACAAGTCCAAGAGATGGATCCCAGGTTTAAACACAGCAAGTTGAGAATTGTAATGTGCATATCTAAAAACACAGAGGAAGCAACATCTATTCTAAATAAAAAAGGTTAAGCAATGGCCCCAGTTAGAACTTGGGTGAGAAACTGTTAGGGCTGCAAGTTAACATTGGAAAACTGAAAAAAGTTCCCTATGGAAAAAAGCAATGACACACTACTTCATGGTTGTCTTCATAGTTCTATCCCTAAAAATCTGATCTGAAAAAACAAGGACAATATTAAGGAAAGATTGTTAGAATAAGGCTGTTGGTCAAGGAAGAGACTTTACTAGACCTCAGTTCCCAGGGAGAATGGAAGCAAACCTGGATCACATAGCAGGTATTTCAGCACCTATTTTTTTCATCCATCCATGAAAGATATTTGTAAAATGTCTATTTTTTCCTATTAGAATATCTTAATTATATCCTGGAAGATGAAAACAGATTTAAATGAAATGGAATTTGGACCAAATATATGGCTTTAGTTTATTAAGTCTATCTTTGAGGACAATAGCTGATGGGGGAAAAAATAACAGGAAAACAAGGGTGATAATTTACATTGTAACATCCTATGACTTTTAGTAAAGACAAGCAACAAGTTTATACACCCAGTCACATCTACACCTTATACTGCAGGGGTGTCAAACTCGAGGCCTGGGGGGGGCGGATCCGGCCCATGAAGTGCTTAGATATGGCCCGTGGGGCTGCCCTAGAAACAGCAAAGGACCAGCCCATGGTGCCTCTGCCAGAGAAAATGGAGCTTGGGAGGGCTGCATGTGACCCACTGGCAGAGGGTTGCAGGAGGCCATTGCAGCCAAAAATGGAGCTTGTGAGGGCTGCAGGCGGCACTTCCAAGCTCCATTTTCACTGGCAGAGGGTTGCAAGAAGCCATCACAGCCGAAAGTGGAGCTCAGGAGCCCATTTTCTCTGGCAGAGTGCTCGGGCCACCACAGGTGCTCCCGACACAAGTGACGTCGAGCTGGCCATGCCCACCCCGGTCACGTCCACCCCGGCCCCCCAATAACTCTGATGCGGCCCTCAATGAAATGGAGTTTGATACCCCTATTATACTATGTACTATTCTTCCTGTACTATCAAAAAACAACAACCCTCCACCTCCCAATTTAAGATTGTTTTGTCAACTTAATGTCAATAACATTGTAGATAGAGGATAAAAGTTACATGATTCGAATAAAATGTCATAATCTGAATGTCCTGTAACATTTTGTTGTTAAGTTATCACCTACAATTAAGAATAACACAAATGTCACTATTTTGGCTACACACTATTTGGTGTAAGTCAATTTAGTTATTAAAAACATGCAGGTTTATGGGAAGGGATTTTATCAGCCAAGTAACTGGAGAGGAAAGCAATTTCACACTGTTCTCTGCAATGCACAGGGAACAAGAACTGACATAACTTTCCAAACAAATCAAAATAACACTGAAGGACAACTACATTCTAGACATTTGTGCTTTAAATAAGCCTGCCCTTTTTAAATACTGATCTACAATTCATATGCCTATGCTGAGTTTTACATTTAACCTTCTGCTGAAAAGGTTTGATCATAAATAATAAAATAACATCCCAAATTATTCTAATCTATTTTTGAAGGAGCAATAGATCTAATATTAAGATAAAATTTCTGAGAAATGCAATCCAGTATCATGTTCATTAGATCCAAACACCTTAGGGGATTTTAAAATCAAAATATAAATAAACAAAAATGTGTTGTAGGCATATTAAACAGTTTTGCTAACCTGCTAGATACTTTGATTTCACAAGCTGTTGATGTATTTACTGAAATGAAATATGTTCACTATTCCAATTTCCTCATAAATTGACTTAACAGGTGTGTTTTAGTAAACCAGGGATAGTTTGGGGATAAATATAGCACTAAATAATAATTACTTAAAGCTCTTAAAGGCAGGATTTTTTTTTTCCTATTCATGGAGCTGTCCAAAGAAATGGTGCTGACTCTCCCAAGTTAAATGCATTGAAGAGACACGTTTTTAGGATTATTTCAACATTTTCACCAGGGTTTCTTCACTCATTCATAGTTAGTACACACACGCATATCCTTATACTGTGTAAATGTAATTGCTCTAAGCACTCTCATGATGACACAAGGAGAAAGAAAATGTGCAAGAGGGAACAGGATGAAATAGAATCTATAGTGTTAGCTCGGCTGAGTAGTGCAAACTCTGGACCTATAGCAAGAATATTTTCTACTCATCCTAGGGCCATGAATGTTCACACAAACATAATAGCAAAAGTTTGTGCAGAGATGTTGAACTAACAACTTTTCATACTCTAGGGTAAGATCTTTAAAACTCTTTACAACTGAAATGTTGAATGTGACAAAGAAATAAAAATACCAAATATTTGGAAATTAATTCCATTCATTGAGATAAAGTAATAGCATTTAAGTTTAATTAATTAGTCTGTGTTCTGGTTTCATCCATTGTTCCTTATCCTATCCCCTAATGGATTACAGCTCTTGCATTCTTTTCAGCCATATACGGCCCTTAAACCCTAAAAGATTAAGTATTAAGAGTAAGAGAAATATAGCTGGTAATGTTGAAAAGAAACTGGTCAACTTTCAAAAGTTTTCTATCAACTGCTCTTTTTTTTTTTTCAATAGCCATCACTATCTCCTATTCAGGACCTATGTTGCTTCATCTATCTATAGAGCACTGCAGGTTTAGTTTAAGCAATTTGGAAACTCAATGAAGCAACAGATTTAAATCCCCCCACTCCCAAAAAACCACAGCCCTGGATTAATAGGGCTCAGAATTACCTAAAATTGTGAGATGGGCAGCAAATAAATTTAATAATGAAAAATCGCAGCTGCATAATTTTGTGAAATATTTAAACCTATGAATTCAAAATTCATACCTTTTAACCTGAGTGAAACATTAAAGATATATTTAGAAAAATGGATAGACATCGTGGATAAGAAAATCACCACGCACTAAAATCCTGCTTAGGAATCATCCAAATGGACTGTTGCACTCCTACATACAATCTTGTTGATTCCATCTACTCACTGATTAATATAGAGTTGCAACAGCCTCCTCTGAAGCATTTAATTATAATTTTTTAAAAGTTCTATAAAAGATTATATTCAAAAATGGAGAGATATAGCTAGTGAGCAGACTTTTTTAATGAAATAAATCTAGAAATTTTTGATGTTCAGTCAGCAGAGTTGGTCGCACTCCCAACATTTCAAAAAAATAAATAAAATGTTATACTACTGATATGATGAAATCTGCGCACCAGATGAAATAACCATGGTATTAAAAAAATCAAAGTGAAATATTTCCTATAGTTTCAAAGATATTTCAGGTTTATTATGAAAATACCACCTTCATACTACAAAGCTTACATTATCAAAATGTTAAAGTCTGGTAATGATCTTACGAGTCTATCTGCTATTGACCAATGTCTCTCTTAATTATTGATGCTAGGATTTTAATAGCTACATTGAGGAAATAAGATATATTGTCTTTAATGTACATAGAATATTGACATATTGTATTTCAGTCTATTAAGATCTCAAAATGGGATTGCTGGAAAAAAGATGATTATGTCTTCATGGAAGAACACCTGTATTCATAAGTTATTTTACATTACACCCATTTAAAGAACAGGGAAAAATAGTTCAAGATATGAAAATTATGTTAACTTTCTTCAATTTGAAAATTATAGTGTAAATCAAATTGTTATTGTTATCACTGCTGCATGAAGAAACTTAGACTGGATCTATCTCAGTGGGACAAAGTTAGGAAACATAGCTGCACACTGTAGAGGAGCTGGGCTAAAATAATTTAAAATACAACTAAAATGGCTTTGAATAATTTGAATGCTGCTGAGATGTATTTACCATCTCTTGTCCTTAAGAAATTGAGAAACATGAATCTGAAGTAAATCTGGAAATTGAACTTTCTGCAATCTTGTTTTTTTTAAAAAAAAATCCTCTAAACAAATTTACACAGGTAATTGTTTACTGGATTCTTCTCAATCTCAGTATATAAAATATTAACAGCCCAAATAATTTATTTGCATAGCTAGCTCTGTTGTATTGTGAGAGAAATTAGGCTTAAAGTCAAAGTTTATTTTATTTTGTCATAGATATGTAGGAGAAAGACTCGCTAAGTTAGGGAGAGGAGTCAAACAGGGAATTAGTTGGGAATCCCTACGTGGGCGCACAAGAAGGTGAAGTCCAACTCCCATTGAACACCATTGAACCTTATCTAGTCTCTCCCACTTGCAAACCGTCAGTCTGAGAAGATTCCTGTTTATACGGTTGAATAATAAAACATATACCGTAATTGAACACTTCGCACGTGGGTCTGGTTGTTTGTATCTGACAGGTATTAGTTACTATACAGAGCCATATATAAACCCATCAGCAGATAAATATCAGGTTATTAAAAATTATTTAATTTTCTTCAACACTATAATGCAATATTGAAATAATAAATTAGTACAGAATCATATTGACCAGTCTCCCTTCCTCTTTGATACAAAGCAAATTCAGAAGCCAGTAATTGATGAATTTTGTTAAGCCTACTTAACTTAATTGTAACTAAGTAATTGTAACTAAGTAATATTAAGTAACTTAATATTACTTAATTCAATATTATGCGGAGAAACTCCAGTGCTATTCTATGTGAAAGCTGAAATTAAACATATTTACATGACTTGTAAAGAGCTATAACAAAAAGAGAAAATGTCATCAGCCTATGTATATTGGTGATTTCTTATTTCTATGAATTTCAATCATAATGTTAGTCCTTTTCCATAACTAGGATTCAGCAGGTAGGACAGCCATTTTTCTGCACAGAAAATGGATTATTCTCTAAACAGCCTGAGAAAAAGAAGAAAAAAGAAGGCAAGGACATCTGTAGGAGATGCATCTTTAAAGCCTAATTAGCAAAGATGGAAGGCAGAGGTGTTAAGCTTCCACACAATTCTAAGGTTTTTAGTGCTCTGTCATCCATCTCTTTCCTCCTACAAATGTACTTTTCTGAATGAAGACTAATATTCCAAACTGCACGTCAATCAGATTGTACAACAAGTATTCATTGACTTACATCCATTCATTTAGTGAATGTTCAAAATTGCAATGGCACTGAAAAGTGACCTATGACCATTTTTCATACTTACACCCATTGCAGCATCCCTGTGGTCACGTGATCAAATTTTGGATGCTTGGCAACCGGCTCATATTTATGACGGTTGCAGTATCCCAGGGTCATGTGATCACTTTTTGCGACCTTCTGACAAGCAAAGTCAATTGGGTGCGCAAATTTACTTAACAATTGTGTTACTAACTTAGCAGCTGCAGTGAGTCACTTAACAACTGTGGCAAGAATGATCATAAAATGGGGCAAAACTCACTTAACAATGGACATTTTTGCATCAATTGTGGTTGAACATCGAGAACTCCCTGTACTGATATAACTTTAAATAAACAATACAGTTACTGAACAAAATGACAGCTTCTATAATGAGCATAACTTTTAAGTGTTACCGGATTCACACCAATTACAAGAAAGGACCCAAGTCCAGATTCCCTGAGAATATGAGAAAATTTTAAATTATTCATGAGGAAAAAAAAAGAAAAGCTATTAACCTAATTGTCTCACGTTTTCAAGCCGTTCTGAAAAACTGCAGATGTAAATCTTGTATCTGAACAAACCAAACCTTGCAATGATACTAAATGCTCTCAGCATTTAATGATTAATACTTACTAATGTTTCATCTTACCAGAACTTTAAAAAGTTGCTCTTGGACACATGTCAGAATCAAAGTCATTACACAAATAGTAATGCTTATTTGAAATCATGTAGTGAGAGAAATTATCATGTAAAGAACTGTACTTTTTATCTTGAGGGAGAAGGAATACTTTCTTCTCAGTGAACTGCCTTGATAGAGCTCACTAATGTGGTGCTAATTACGATGAATGACAATTAGAATCAAATGAATATTTTTAATCCTTCAATTTAATAAACCGGTCACATCAAATAGCATAGATAGCTATCTAATAAAGGGCGGTCTAAATCAGCGATGTCAAACTCGTGGCCCGCGCTGGCCACGCCCAGCCCATTTAGCAAAGGGGGGGGAGTTGCAATACATCACGCGATGACGTATCATCACAAGTTTGACACTCCTGGTCTAAATTATGGGCTATACATCCATAATTCCTTGTTTCCTAACTTTATATTAATTACTTGATGAATGACAATTAGAATCAAATGAGTATTTTTAATCATTCAATTTTATTTTATTTTTATTTTTGATTTATATGCCGCCCTTCTCCGGAGACTCAGGGTGGCTTACAATGCGTTAAGCAATAGCCTTCATACTTTTGTATATTTTTATACAAAGTCAGCTTATTGCCCCCACAAACCGGGTCCTCATTTTACCTACCTTAGAAAGGATGGAAGGCTGGGTCAACCTTGAGCCTGGTGAGAATTGAACTCGCAGTAATTGCAAGCAGCTGGAAGCTAAATACTACCTTTAACAGTAGCATTAGTCTGCTGCGCCACTCAGGCTCTTCGTAATAAACCATTCACATCAAATAGAATAGATGGCTATCTAATAAAGGGTGGTCTAAATTATGGGCTATACATCCATAATTTCTTGTTTCCTAACTGTATATTACTCACTGAATTGAATTCCTATTCACAAAAGGAGAATAAACTGCTGTATGTAAACAGCGAGCAAACCCAAACCCACTCACACTGATGATGTTACCTAGGTGGGTAATGAAAAGTCTACAAGCAAACAACCAATTCAGAGAGCACCAAGGATTCTATAATTCAACTCTGACCTACACATATTCTTTTTTTTTGAAACTATGACAATGTTTCACATCTGCAATATAAATAACTAAGGGATAAACTATAATCATGTCAACCACATAATGAAGAAGTTACAGTAAATCACTTTAAATGAAGAGCTCTAACCAATTGTCTCAATATTGGTTAATCTGCAAGTTCATGCACAATATACTGCATCAGGTACTTTCTGTTCACTATCATACAAAATATTCTTGTTAATTATACTATATAAATTAAGAAATATGACAAAAAAAAGGTAATATTTGTAATACTTGTAACTAACAGAAGGCTCAGGGACTCCCTGTAACATTAAGATTGTAATAATACATTTAAGATATTCAGCCATGAAACTCCATGGTCATAAACACTACTATAATCTCACAGGAGGATCAACACCAGTGAATCCTGGTTTATGTAACTTAATCAGCCTTCTCCAGAACATGGCCCTTACTTGAGATCTTATCCCAGAGTAGATAATAGCAAAGAAAACAAATGATAGTTTGTTGACTTGATTTTTTTAAAAAAGAACACATCAGTGCTACAGATGAAATCCTGATGAAAATCAGCATGCTCATCTGTTTATTCTGTGCAAATAGTCACATTGCCAGCTCCTGAATTTTCTTAAACTGGACATGCTCACGGACTGGACATGAACATCAAAAAGAGTGTCATTATTCTAATTATATGCATGATTTTTCATATCTTCTACCACATAGAAAGAGGAGGCTCATCAACTCTTGTTAACGTCCATGAGTCTAAATTTTATTTTAAAAAAATATTTATATAAATTTATACACTCACACATCAGGAGAAACAACACACCCACCCACCCCTAAAAACCAGCAGGCCATTTACACAATCTGCCCATCCCTTTTACATGAGCTTTCTACACATTCCCTACTTCTGCTCAGCACCAACTTCTCTAGCACAAAAGTAGTTATTTAAAAAACTCTTACCTTTAACAATTTGTTTGGCACAGGCATTATAAACTTGTTCCTGGGATGTATTGGGAGGCAATACTCTATCAAAAACATAGGGTTTCCCTTGCTGAAATAAAAAAAAAAAAATAGGCATTTTCAGAAAAAAAGCCAAAAATATGATTAAAAACACAACAGACATTATTATGAAACAAACAGATACTCAGTGTGGATTACAAATTACTAAGAAATATACTAAATGTGGTTAACAGTACACATTTTTATGAAACAGCTTATATTTAGCAGCTATTCTAGAGACTTATCAGACTCAAACCTGTATGCAAGAAATATCAGACAGCAGAAAGAGGAAACATTGATACTATTTTTCTTTTTTTTTTATTAAGGTTTTATAAGTTAAACAAGAACACAAAACAAAAATACATACAAACATGAATACATTAAAACAATACAAAAGAAAAAACAAACCAACACTAACTCAGTCCACTGACTGACTTCTGAAAGCTGTTGCATCGGTGGTTGTTTTCTATTTTGCTGTTTTTCTCTATACATGTCTATTTTACATATTTACTTATTTACACATTTATGCATATCCAAATCTTAGACTTACTCTTTTTAGATTTTCTTCTGTATGGAAATACCAATTACATCTATATAACTTTCTAGAAATCCTTCTAGATGTTTGTCCACACAACCATTCTATCCTTCCTCATGCGTAATTGTCTGTGTTTCTTGGTTAGATTCACAAAAAGTATTATTTTGTTAGTCCTATCTTTCCCTCTAACCAGGAGTACCATCTTTGCCAGACTAAATAGTAATCGGTATTGTCTTTCTCTTGTAATTCCTTTGTAAGTCTGTCCATTTCTGCACATTCTGTTATTTTCGCAATTATTTTTTCTTCTGTTGGTAATAGTTTGGATTTCCAGTTTTGAGCGTACGCTATACGTGCCGCTGTTAAGATGTGAATAATAAGATATTTTATCTCTTTGGTATATTGTGGTGTGGTCATTCCAAATAAGAAAAACTCTGGTTTCATTTCGACCTTCTGTTTAGTTATTTCTTCAATCATTATCTTGATTTCTTGCCAGTAATGTTGCGCCCTTCTGCAAGACCACCAGAGATGATAATATGACCCCTTTTGTGACTTGCATTTCCAGCACATTGGAGACATATTTGGAAACATTTCAGCCAAATGGGAGGTGGGAGATGCCATCTGTAGAACATCTTGTAAAGGTTTTTTTTATATGGTATCGACATTGTCAGCTTATAGTTTTCTGTCCATAATTTGTCCCATTTATCCAATTCTATGCTGTGTCCTATATTTCTTGCCCAGGTTATCATATTTTCTTTCACCGGGAAACATTGATACTATTTTTCAAATCACCTTGTTCCTTCTTTTAAAACCTAAATTTGAAGAAGTGATTTGATTAAAATATTAAAAATCTCTTTTGTACAGTTCTAAAGTTCCAGACATCTATCTATCCTTTAAGGTTCTTCTCAAGAGTTGATGCACAGTTATAATAAATGTAAGAATGTGAGAGGGGTTTTTTCTTCCTTATCATTCTTTCACTATATTAATTTTTGTAGTTTAAATTTGGATTTGATTTGGAACCTTTACAGGAAAATGGATAGCTAGAATGCAATGCATCTTTTCTTCATCAAGGCAATTCCTGAAACAGGGTATTAATATCAGTACGCAGCTAGGAATATCTAGGGAAAAAATAAGATTGTGTATATGAAATTTATCTTCACTGTCCTTGCTTAATTTTTTCCTCCTTTTCCATCCCCCTAAGTTATTTTGAAGGCCCACGCATGACCTTATCACAGAAGAAGAAACATAATACGTAAGTACGATCAGTACAGATTCATTATAAGAAAAACGTTCAGACAGCCAGAATAGTGGTCTATTAAGAGCACTTGAGTTTTTGAATTGTGAGGCGGTAGAGTTTGGACAACAAATCTTATTGTGTCTCAGGAATATGGAAATCTATCTTACGCTTGATAGACCATTGGTCCTTCTGCTAGTATTCCAATAGGAATCGAACTTCAGATTCTTTCCTTGGAATGTAGAAGCAAACATTGGAGGCAAGTATTGTGCTAAGGCTAAAATGGCAATGGCTAACACTTTCAATATTGTTGCCGATAAAATTATAAGGATATATCCACTAATTCATCTGCAGTCTTCAGCTCACCTTTATAGTTTGCTTTAATCAAGATTTGCTTAATTAGCTGCAATGGCCACATTCATATATTGTATTAACGCATGCACAATGGCCAACCAGATCAGATTCACAGCATATTAAGCCAAAACCAAAGAAACCACATTATGGTTTTTTAGAGTGTGTAAATTCAGTCAATAGGAATAAGCCAAAATCCTTATTAGTCATTCCTTTTAAAGTAAATGTTGGCCTGGTTAATGAAGCTAGTCATGACTTCAGCTTTGTACTATGGATGAACTCAGCTATAATTCTTAAGCTATAGTTTATGGCTTTTAGTTATATGTGAACCAAGCCTACTAACAAACTTTGAATTTGCTTGCTACAGGAACACAGTTCTTAGCCTAATCTGTTTCACCAGACTGCTTTTTGAGAATACTAAAATATGGAGAAATGTCTACTATGTGCCTTATGAGGAGCAGGAGAAAGATGAAATATGCTAATTAAGAAACTAACTAAAACTCTAAACTAGATTAAGGATTACTTCCTGAATTAAACAGGTCAGTTGCTCCGAGGAAAGACATCACATTAACCTTTCATGCTATTCAAGATGATTGATGCCGTAAAGATAAAACAGAATTCCTCAAGCAGTTTTCAGCAGGTTAATGGCATCAATAAGCCACACTCAAATCTCCTTCTGGGTTTTCACATGTTCGGTTGTCATTAAAACTGTGTCACCTCTTAGACACAACTCTTTCCCTGGAGGCTGTGATGAGCTGAAAAAAATCCATTTAATGGATGCTTGCTCACACACTTCTTTGCAGATGCAAATTATGAGAATTTCATAATCATAAACTGTTATCTACCACTCCCTATTTCTTTTCCTCAAGGCTAAGATAAAGGATAAAAACCAAATACATTAAACAAAGAACCGTATTATAACCAGCTTTAGTTGCTATCATCTACCTTTACTATTATTCATCATCAGTGTATAGAAAAACATCTCAAAAAACAAGTTTTTGACAAAGATGTATGAAAATGTATCTGTCAGATTTTATCTGTTACAATAAAGAAACATTTAAAAGGCTTGTCTTAAAAAAATATTACCGGAATAAAAATTTCTTGTTCCACCTCCTGTACAGCAGCCCTTACTGTATTGTTTCTATTATTAATTCTCCACCATCAGTAAAGGATAAGAATTTTTGTTATCTACTTTTGTATATGTCAAAACATCCTTGCCAGGCATCAGATGTAGAAACAATTTAATTCCAAATCTTGCGGAAAAGCCAACTGTAATAAATGTATCTGCTTTCTTTATCTTTCAATTTTCACTGTCAGGGTAGGAAATCTTTTTTTTTAATTAGCATTCAGTAGGGGGAACAATTTTTTTAATTTAATTTATAGGATCTCCAACTGCCAAATGACTCTATAGAAAAGACTTTTCACCAACAACACAAACATTTGTAGTAACACAAAAGAAGTTATTGTGTGTAGACTTAAAAACCAGGAGATTGTGAGTTCTACTCTCACCTTAGGCATGAAAGCCAGTTGGGTGACCGTGGGCCAGTTACTGTTTCTCAACACAGGGTTGTTGTGGGTAAAATAGGGAGGAGGAAGGTTCATTAAGGCATGTTCGTTGCCTTGAGTAACTTACAAAGTAATGAAGGTGGGATAAAAATCTAATAAATTTTTGACTCAGCCTTCCATCCTTCCAAGGTAGGCAAAATGAGGACCTGGTTTGTGGGGGCAATAAGATGACTTTGTATAAAATAGAACACCGCTTGGGGGGACCAAAAAGCCCTACTAAGCAGGTATATACAAAAGTATGAAGGCTATTGTTTAATGCATTGTAAGCCACCCTGAGTCTCCGGAGAAGGGCAGCATATAAATCGAACTGATAGATAGATAGATAGATAGATAGATAGATAGATAGATAGATAGATAGATAGATAAAATGTACCGTCCAACGCAGGAACTAACAAGTGAGCGAGCACTCTGTACCTAGCCTGATAAACATGGAAGAATTCTCATCACATCTATTCGGGAGAACAGAATCATCTACAGCAGCAGCTCCCAACCTTTTTGGGTGCCACAGACCAGTTCCATGGAGAGTGGTTTTTCCGCAGCCCAGGGGGGCATGGTTTCATGCGCTGCCTGCATCTCAGATGGGCTTTGCTTGTTTACATGGCCCAAATTTGTGGCAATCTGCAGCCCGGTGCCAGTCTGCAGCCCAGGGGTTGGGGACTCCTGATCTATAGGAATAGCAGGGTTGAATTTGCATAAAATAACAGGTGCAAGGTGCCAGAAAGCCATGATATAGATCAGGGGTCTCCAACTCTGGGAGTTGAAGTCCACAAGTCTTGAAGTTACTAAGGTTGGAGTTCCCTGATATAGATGGAGCTTGGGATGGTGTACAGAAAAAGAACTTTCAGGAGATCCTGAATTATGAATCACAACACACCTTAAGCTGCTTAAAACACAATCTATGGCTATCTAAAATAATATTTTATTGTTGCTGGTTATTTAGATGTATTTCTAGTTTTGACACTGTTCTGATGTATTAGGGGAAGCACAACCAAAACTACGTTGTGTGTAGCATCACCACATCCATGTTCCTATTTCTGATTCAGATATGTTATTAGGTATGTTATGCAAAAATATTAGAATTCTCTGTATCAAGCAATCAAGTAGCAGAATTAAAGCAAGGGGTTTAAAATTTTCTAATGTATATTGGAATCTACTGATTGACCAATCCTGGCCATAGTTACTTTAGGTCAAAATAACTATGGCATAGGATGATAGTTTAGACAAAATGCGCCATGTAATTTATTTAAATATAGATACAAGAATTTCTCCATTTAATAGGGAATGTTGTGTAGTTCTCAAAATGTTTATCAGAGGCTGCTGGGAACAAGAACGCTTCTCAGCAGCCTCTGACAGGGTATTATTTTTGTTT